CTTCCTCGTCATCATTAGCTACTCGCGACTCCACTTCGCCAAAGAGCTTGTAGAGCAGCTCTTCCTCTTGCAAATACCAGGCTCTCTCTTTGCACAATTCATTTGCTGCCCATGTGAAGTCCATCTTCACTCCTTATTGATCACAAGCGCGATAGATCTTCTCTCGAAAGTAATAGTTATAATCCCATTATTTATATACTAATATTTTTCCTTTTGCAAGGGATGGGGGCACGTTTGCCCAGGATCTTCCATCTTCTTATAAGCCTTGGAGAGCCAGGAGTGACGTTAATACTGGTGGAGCTCAGGTGAATTGCAAGCATGGTCGGCTGCCAGTTTGAGATCCAAAAGTTCCCATGAAATTTAGGTCGTCATCTTTTCAATCTCTTTAACAATTCAAAACGTTTATGCACGTATTTCCAGCTAGTGCTTTCTAGCATTAAAGTGACTGTAAGGTGGGATTCATTTTTTACTCATCCCGTGAAGCCAGTACGTCCAGGTTCCACGGTCTATACCTCCCATCGCTCCATCGGCTCATCGCATGATCCATGCAGGTGATGATATATAAAACTGGAAAAAAAAAACCACGTAGCTATAGCTTTGCAATCTCCTTATCCATTCATTTCATATATGGTTTTCATCAAGAGATCCACGCTCGTCCGGCCAGTGTCACCAGTTCTCAATGGATCACGGCAGCTTTCGGTTTCAGCAACAACACCAAAACGCTGCTGTGCATCTTCAGCCACATTTACCAGGAGTTTCCATACCAGAATCGCCACCTCTTCTTCAAGCCGCCTACACCACCGTTTTCGAAGATCATCACCCACATGAAACAGCCTTTGGCGGCACCGCCGTCCGAGTTCTACCCTGTCGCTGGCCGGATCTCCGTCCGCGAGGACATGCGAATGCAGCTCGAATGCAACGATCATGGCGTCATGTTCAGCGAGGCGTCGTGCGATCGCCCACTTCCCAAAGGCGACAAGTTTGATCTGGACCCCGAGTTCCTGCTGGAGCTGTCTCAAGCTCCTGGCACGAGAAGGATCTCAAGTGGCCGTGGCCGGCTGATGCTCCACGCCTTTTCATCCAGGTACATAAGATCTCACAACGTGTATCTAAAGACAATGTTATACTTTCAAGGTGAGCGAGTTTTCGTACGGAGGCTTCTGCGTGGCGATGAAGTACAGCCACGAGCTCATGTCACGAGTTCTCGTGGGGGATGGCCATGGTACAAGCTCCAGCGAGTGGGCGAATGTATTACTTCCCCGGCAAAGAGAAAGGCAGTGTGGATCTCTACATCACGCTGCAACACCAGGCAATGGAAAAGCTGGAAAATGACGCATCATTCGGGGACATGTGTTTGATTTGATTTATACAGGAGGTAGTTACTAGTTATTGTATCCTCCAAAGTGGATATGTATATTTATATTGTTTGTTCTGTACGTGACCTTCTTCTCTTTTATTTTATCTCCAGCTATTGGTCCCTCTGGTTGATGCTGAAGAAATCTAGAGGTACATAAGTTTGTTAACGTTTAGTTTTAATTCGCCCTTTGGCGTGATTGATTCGATCGTTGCCATATACTATGTTTGCAAAAAGAGCACCAATATAGATTTCCTTAAACAAAAGTGTATTTGTAAAGGAAAAGTTGTATATAAATAATGGGATTATTAATTTAAGGGCTAACTATTGCTTTTGAGAGAAGATCTATGGCGCTTGGGTGTGGCGTAGCTATGCTTGATGATCAGCTGTGGATGAATAAAGGAGTGAAGATGGACCTCACATGGGCAGCAAACGAATCGCGCAAAGAGAGAGCCTGGTATTTGCAAGAGGAAGAGCTCCTCTACAAGCTCTTTGGCGAAGTGGAGTCGCGAGTAGCTAATGATGACGAGGAAGGCTGGGAGCGCGTTTCTGGGAGTGGAAAGACGAGTTCCATGGACGAGGAGTTCATGCGAGAAGAGGAGGAGCTTTCCTCGCTCTTTGAGGAAGTGGCCTGGAAGGCAAACCATGAAGTGGGCGATGAAGAAGAAAACTCAACGATTCTAAGAGAGGTGATGGAGTTGCTTGGTCTCACAACCAAAAGGATTTCCAAACTGTAAATCTCATCTAACAGGTATTGAAGTGCTTTCTACAAGTAACTTCCTACACACGACATTTCTCAAGCAAATGCCTCGATAAGACACCGTAGAATTGTATTTTTCTCGAGAGTGATTTCCTAGAAACATAATGTGCTCGTAGTGATCTGTTTGTAAGCCAGCAAATCCAGCTTAGTCCAAAGAAAACTTTCAAGAGCAAATTTCTTTCTCTAGACTCAGATGATTATCAACAGTGGCGATTTTGATCGCGTTCCTCAAAGAGAACGCTGAGAACTTAAGGATCATCTGGGTTCTCTGTGAATGCAACCAGAAATTCCTGCAGAGAGGAAAGATTTCTCACAAAGGAAATGTACTAAACTTTTACTTAATACCCTCGAAGTATGCGGAAGATCGTCTCGGATCGCTGGAGAGCAGCAGCGGCAGCAAAGCGCGTGAGTGTTTCTCCATCCTTCTACCCATCACAGTGACAGTTCTTCAGCAGCGCTTCAAAGTCCCGGTGTCTTTGTCACGGTCTCGGCGGTCAAGGCGGGCCACGAAGCTCATTCACGCCGCTTCCATCCAAGATGGCAGCCACACAGACGTCTTCGTGGCCAGCACCGCCATCAGCATGTACTCGCGATGAGGCTCGCCTCGTCTTCGATTCCATTCTTGACTGCTGCTACGCCACTGCTAACGCCCTCATGCTCGGCTACACGGACAGGGAGAGCTCGATCTCGACCTCTTCTCGAAGATGGAGTCCGACTACAGCCTGCCACTTGACCCGGGAACTTTTGTGGCCGCTCTCAAAGCTTGCACCAGCGTCGCGGCCAAGGAAGACGAGCAACCTATACTCCGGCCCGAGAACAAGTTGGTGGTGAAGTTCAGGAGCCTCGAACGGGGCGAGTTCCTTGGCTTCGTCATGAACAGCCTCGTCGACATGTACTCCAAGTGTGGCAGTGCTCGGATGGTCTTCGACAGGATGGCGGGGCGGACTGTGGTGTCGTGGAACTCATTGATTCTCGGCTACGCAGAGAGAGGCGAGGAAGAGCCCGCTCTGGAACTTTTCTGGTCCATGGAAGCTCAGGGCGTCTCCCCGGATGATAGAAGCTTCATGGCCGTTCTCAAAGCGTGTACCAAGGACACCGGCCAGGAGATCCACGACAGGCCAAAGTGAAGTGTCTTGGCTGCGGCATGGCCTTGCACTTGAAAGCTACTCGAAGTGGCTACGACGGTAACTTGTTCGTTACCAGCTCCCTTGGTCGACAGGTACTCCGAGTGTGGCAGCATGCTCATACTTTTGGCCAGCCCTCACGCTTGGCTACGTTGAAAACGGTGACGAGAGGCTGGTTCTGGAAGTCTTCGATCACTTGCAAGATCTGGAGGCCTACGCCAACTCCCTCACCTTCGTGGCTGCTCAAGGCCTGCATTGAACCGGATCTAGAACTCGGATGGAAGGATTGTAAAGCTAGAATCGCTGTCCAGGGGCAAACGCATCCACGCACAAGCTGTAAGCTGCCGCTGTGACTCGGATACCATGGTGGCCAGCACGCTGGTGGACATGTACGCCAGGTGCAGTACCCTGGTCGATGCCAGGAGGGTCTTCGACTGCATGCCTTGTAGAACACTGATGTCGTTAAACGTCCTATTGCTCGGCTACGCAGAGAATAACGAGGTCGTGCTCGACCTCGACTTGTTCTCTGGGCTGATGGCTGGCAGTGACGCACCGGATGCTCGATCTTTTGTCACACCTCTCAAGGCCTGCGCTCTCGTCGTGGTAAAAGAGGATGGGCATAAAGTCGATGGCAAGCTTGTCAAAGTGAAGGCGATGGAAGCAGGAATGCCAACTCCCAGGCCAGACTTGACACGGACGTGTTCGTAGCTAGCACGCTCGTAGACATGTACACCAAGTGTGGAAGCTTGTTGGACTCGCAAGGCCTTTGACAATATCCCAGCTCAAGCCCTTCTCTGGACGTCGCTTATCCTCAGATACTGAGAGGACGACGAGCCCCAGCTGACACTGGAGCTCTTCTCGCAAATGCAGCACTTCCAGATCCTCCCAAACGCCCAGACTTTCATGGGCGTGCACAAAGTTGGCGGTGTTAGAACAAAGTAGTGAAGTCGTGCTGGAAAGGTGGCAGTGGTGAAGCTGAAAGCTCTAGAGATTGGCCATGACATCCATGCTCAGGCCTCTAGAGCTTTGAGTGAATTGGAGCTCTTCGTTTTCAACCTCACCATCGATAAGTACTCCAGCAGTGGCTCCATGGACGATGCCTGGTGAGTGTTTGACACCATGGCGGCGAGAGACATGCCTGATGCTTGGCTACACCGAGAACTCCCAGCCGCAGCTCGTCTCTCAAGCTGCTACCCAACGAACGGTTCCCAAATGCTCGAGCGTACGACGTGCCAGTTGGGATTTTCAAATGCCAGATGGGCAATTAAAAATAAAACTGCTCTCAAATCCTAGCTCCGCGCTGGATGTGGAGCTTGGCCGAAAGATCCACAGCGAGCTCTCCAGATTCGGCCTTGAAAGCAATCCAGTGGCGACAATTCCCTCGTCAGAATTCTAGGACTAGGACTAATTAGGACTATAGATAACTATAAAACTGAACAATTAGGACTTTATCATTACAATAGTTATAGGTCGACTCGTTTCTGATAAAGTCCAGTTTTGGCAATTGTATTGATCTATTTTGTTTAACACTGACAGGACTGCTGGCTAGTGTAGAGAAGGATTGCTTTGCTCATCATTGTCTTCTGGGAAATTCGTTGGATCTTCTTCATGAAGCAAATCATGCGGTGAGCGTGGATCGAACACGCGACCTTCAGATCTTCAGTCTGACGCTCTCCCCACTGAGCTATCCCCGCTTAATTGATATATCTTTAATGAAAACTTACCTTTAAACTAATGGCCTAAACCCTAAGCCCTAAGGACAGGGACTTCCACTGAATGATCCCAGGAAGCGATGGAAGCAGCGGCGGCGGGAGCACGCGCGCTGCTAGTTCTTCCTTCCCGATCTCCATTCCAGGAACCTAGATTTGCATTCCCTGTTCGATGCGCTCCAATTCCAATCGCGCAGCGGCATTTCTTTCCTCCTCCGCGGAGCTGGGATTCCCATTGCCGTCGCCCTCTTCTTAGGTTTTCCTGCTGCCTCAGAGAAGCACAAGGCGATCCCGCCACGAGGAGGAAGCGCCTGGCTGTTTTCGTGTCCGGCGGCGGATCAAACTTTCGGAGCATTCACAAGGCGACGATCGATGGCACTGTTCTTGGAGACGTGGTGATCGTTGTCTCGGACAAGCCAGGTTAGTTCTTGGTTTTTTCCATGGATAGAATCCATAGCAATCCAGCTAGAGTTTCATTCTTTTGTCCTGGATTTAGAATGCAAGGCTTGCGAGTACGCTCGAGAGCACGGGATTTCGGTGGCGTACTATCCGAGAACAAAGTTTGCTCCAGATGGAGTGTCTCCAAACGAGCTCGTGGAAATTCTCAGGTTGGCCTTATGCTTTTCTTTTGCTAAAAGAGTTTACCTGTGATCGATCTTTGGCAGGCATCAAAGAGTGGATTTCGTGCTGCTGGCCGGCTACTTAAAGTTGATACCAAAAGAGCTCGTGGAAGCGTTTCCTCGAGCGATCCTCAACATCCACCCCGCGCTCCTCCCGGCATTTGGAGGCAAAGGTTTCTATGGAATCAAAGTCCACGAGGCTGTCATCGCTTCCGGCGCTCGGTAACTTCCACCTTTCATCGTTCTCTTGCTCTAAATTCTTGCAACTTTTAACAGTGTCTCGGGCCCAACGATCCATTTCGTGGATGAGAAGTATGATCACGGGAGTATTCTTGCGCAGCGAACAGTTCCGGTTCTAGAGACGGACACGCCGCAAGACTTGGCAGCCAGAGTACTGGAACAAGTACGTGGTTTGATTGTTCTTGAGTTACGATTGGTTTTTGGATGGGATTTGCCACCGACAGGAGCACGCACTGTATGTGGAAGCTGTGGCTGCTCTCTGCGAAGAAAGGATTGAATGGAGTGGCGATGGAGTTCCTCGCATGCGCGAAAAGGAGCTAGCTTAACTGTGAGGTATTTCGATCTTTCTATATACCATTTTCCAGAGAAAACATATAATTTACAGGCAAATCATCTCACTCATGGGTTTTGTCCCTGTTCCTCATCCCGGATTCTTTGTTCTGGAGTAGAATTTCGTGCTCGTAACAACGCCAACGCCAAAGACAATGCAATGCCCAGAAGACCAGCCATTGTTATCGAAAGCAATGCCTCGATATGTAGCTGCAAAAACAAAACATAAATTTCATAAAGATGGTTAAGGACTCCACCATTTGGTAGAATAAGTGTGCGAGCGATATCACAAGCCCAATTTGAGTTGCCGAAAGAAGCCATATAAACTTTTGTTCCACTGGAAAATAATTAAAATATAAGAAAATTGAGAAAAAAAAGGACCAAATTACCAAATACAGTCCCTGTAATGGACGTGGTAATTCCAAATAATAGTCCAAAAGGCAGTGCCAAGATCAGTGCCTGATTACCGTTCTGCTTGATCTGCATAAAAAACTTCATGAGTTGAATCAAAATCTTCTCATGTACCAGCATTTGTTCCAGGAAGCAGAAGTAAGTCACGCTAGCGATTATGCTAATCCAGAGCCTGCAGCGTAAGAAGTCAAGCAAGCAAACCAAAAAAGAAATTTCTTACATCACCTCCACTCAAGCATGCTAAAGCTAAGCCCTTGATGATCAAGTTGCTGGTTTAAACTTTGAGTAGCGTTTTCGAGCCGGAGTGTGACCGGAAGGTTGACAACTTCCTGGCCGCAAACATCACACTGTCGATTCCCTCGAATGCCAAACCACTTGAGAGCGCAATCTTGATGGGCCAGTGCCAGGCCGCCTTTGCAGGAACACTCGAGCCTGAGAGTGGAGCTTGTCTCTTGGGTGAGATCACAGAGGCAAATTCTACAAGATAGATCTTCCTCCGAGGATACCTCGTCGTGATCATCTCCTAGATTTACACACGTGTTCTCAGTTCTCATGAGCATTTGGAGAAACATCAAGATTGCGATGTTTTACCTTGCTTTGGACGAGGAGTCACAGGTTTTACCAAATAAGTTCCGGAATACAGCCTTGTTAACTCCTTCTTCGTGTGTTCTTCCATTGGGCCGGAGATAGAACGCTGCACTGCTTTCTTCTCATGCTGAAAGATCTAGCACCAACTTGTAGGTGAAGAACAAAGGAAGGAAAATTAGAAAGACCTTTGATCCAAGTGAAACCGATTGAGAGTTGTATTTCTTACTCCAGCTGGGAGTTCTTGGAAGCATTCTCTTGGGATCATTGTCTGGTGGTGGTACCTCAAGCCTCAACCTTGGCCGAATTCGTGTTGTGTCCTTGGCATCCATCTAATAACAACAACATGATCACAAAAAAACCGAAGACAAGGGAGAGACCATACCTCAGCTTGTGGAGATTGATCCTCAGCTCACCCGTTAACTCGATCCAGCGTTGGCAGCCGTCGGATTAAGTCAGGTTCTCTGCGAGCTGACAACTGCCAAGTCGTGGAGAACCAGGCTACCAGCTGCCAGGTTGTGGAGAACCAGCTGCCAGTTCTGGAGAACCCTTTCATCCTCAAATAACTTTATTCCATGTGTCCGTCAACGGTCTCGCCACAGTCCGTTAAGGCCGTTCCTCGGGCACGGGCTCGCTCGAATGCGCTCGCCGTACACGGGAACTCCATCACGATCGTGGTGCCAGGTGCCCAGCACGTACTGTTCCACGTGATAAAAACATTCTCGGCTATTATTCCCCACTATTAATGATTCTGTCAGCACCAATGCTGACGCATGTTTGTTTACCTTAAACAATATTATTCTATTTATTGTGGATCGAGAGAATTCCATTTAAAACCATTACTGAGCTCAATCGGGGAGAGTGTCAGATCGAAGATCTGAATGGAGTTCTGCATGTAGAAAAAGTTATACACTGCAACAATTTTTTTTCTTAGGGAATGTGACTGACGCAAACTTTTACACTGGGTGTATCGCTCCGTGGGTTCCACTTGAAATACATTTAACACTGCAAAGAGTGACAAAAGTTTTACCCATTTTGTACTCGTCAAGCATTTGCCCAGTGATGAGTCCTCATAGCCCACGCCAAAGCTATAAACGTCACTTGCAGCATGGTGAGCTGCTGGCATAAGAAGTACTTTGGATCAAGATACTTGTAGATGTTTCCAGAGATAGAACTCGAACTCCCCAGCCGGGCTCAGCTTAGCTTTATGTCATCTTGTAAGTGTTTCATTCTCGCCTTGGACCAGCTTCATCTAAGCCTCCAAACGAGTGAGAAACCTGTCTTCCTTGTTTTGTTTCCCTGCAAGCATTTTTCTCCTCGGATTTTGGCACTGTCTTCATAATGGACTCTAGCCATGGAGAAACCAAGAAGAATAAACCTGACTTGTGATAGACACGAAAAACTGGGCACTTCCTTCTCGACGCGGGATCATGAGAAAATGGTGTTCGATCCACGTTCACCGCAATCTCATCTGTCCTAGTGCCATGCAAAGAAGTCAAAGTCTTGACTGGGTAATTGCAATACAATATACATGACAGGCTTGTGATAGACAAGTTTCCATTTCATTATCAAGCAAAATAGTAATAAATGCACGGATGCCAGATCCACGTAATTTATGAGACATGGTAACTGGAAGAACACAGCCCAGGCCACAGAAGGCAATGGAGAAAGTACCACGTTGTTGTTGAGAAATACTTCATTGAGAAACATGGTTCGGTGAAGGTGGAGAGACTTGCCCAGTGGTTCTGTTATGGCCATGACTGGTGATTTAGCTTTAGGTGAGTATTTTCTTTTGAATTTTTCTAAGCTCAAGCAAGTTTATCTGTGTAGAGATTGATACTGGCGGAAATGTGTTCCAAAGAGCAAAACGAAGAACAAAAATTTTCAGGGTTCTTTGAAACCAACTTTATATTGTCAAACAGGCTTTCCCAGGAGGATGATGCCCACACTGGTTTGGTCACTTGCTTGGTCACGACCGTTGGTTCGTACCTCTGCGGGGTACAGTTTCCTGACTGTGTTTATGATGAGAAGGTTGACAATGGCCAAGTTTGAAATTGGTTTTCCAGCATCTAGAACCCAGAAAGTGGTGAAAGCGGGACAGGAGCACTTGCAAAGAAGATCCAAATGGAGCATGGCATGCTGTGGTGTACAAAGATTCGTCCATGTATATATGAAAAGGAATGAAAGATGAGGAAATGCTAAGTTGTATAACCAGATGAAGAGAAGTTCCCAGAATACATTGACATATCACTAAATTCTTCCGTGGTAGTCTCCAATCCATGACTGCTATTGTGACGAGCAAAGTAATCCTGCTCAAGATTAGCCAGCAGTCCTGTCAATGTGCTCAAGACAGTCTAAGAAAAACACATCAATACAATTGCCAAACAATGTATGCCTCTAAGCTCACCTTGATGGACGGCCTTTCACTCTTGTCAAACGCAGCGCATCTCAAGGCTATGGTAGCAAGAGCTAGATATTGCTCCTCAGGGAAGTTCTCGGCTATACGGCTGTCTATCACTGACCTTATCCCTCCGTTTCGAAGCCTGGGTTTCACCTGCAATACGTACTGTTAACATTGCAAAGAGTGGCAAAAGTTTTACCCATTCTATGAGATTGAACTCTTCGGGCCTCTTTTGGTCGATGGCTTTCTGTCCAGTGATGAGTTCTAGCAGCACCACACCGAAGCTGTAAACATCGCTCGCAGTGGTAAGCTGCCGACGTAAGAAATACTCTGGATCAAGATACCTGTGAACATAGATGTTTCCACCTCTCAAACAAAAGTTTGAAGAAAACTTACCCAGCTGTGCCAGCAGGTTTTGTGGATACGTGAGTGTCAAACTCTGGAGAGACCTTGGATATGCCAAAGTCTGAAATCTTAGCTGTAAGGTTTCCATCCAAGAGAATATTGCTGGGCTTCAAATCTCTATGAATAACTGGAGGATCCTATCATCAAGTCAATCAGAAAAAGAGCAGAGGTCGAAATGAAGACTAAAGTAACTTACTGCGTAAGAGTGAAGGTAATCCAAGCCTTGTGCAACAGCCACAGCAATTGCTAATCGCTGGTAACAATCCAAAAGCTGACCAGAGTATTTTCCTGCAATGAAACAACACGAACAATGAAAAACAAAAAATGATCATAGGTATAAACTATGTTATGATCATTGTACCGAGAAGCCGATCGTGAAGATTGCCATTTTCCATGAATTCATACACCAAAACCTGCAAGGTAATCTTTGAGGCACATTCCAATAAACTGTCTTGAAGCAAGAATTCTACGAACCTGATTTTTTCCGCTTTGGCAAAATCCAAGGAGTCTCACCAGATGTCGGTGGTGAAGCCTGCTAAGCAGCTGGATCTCGTTACGAAACTCTCGCTGGCCTTGCTTGCTCTTCGCAGATGCTTGCTTGATCGCCACAGTTCGACCATCCTCGAGATTTCCACGGTAGACGCGTCCAAATCCTCCACAGCCAACTTCGCATTCCTTTGAGAACCCGGAGGTGGCCTTGGAGATTTGGTCCAGCGAGAACATTTCTATTCCCTGAGGAACCTCCCAGTTCCTGAGAGGCTCGCTCATATCAGATCCACTATCTGCATGGAAGACTATCACGTCTACACCAAAAATAATGTATTGAAGGATCATACCTTGTTCATCATCTCGTTGCTTAACTTGCTTGTGTCTCCAGAGAATAAGCACTGCAATTGAGATGCTGATCGCAGCAAGCGCACCTATGGCAATTCCAGCGATTGCTCCGGAGCCGATTGATCTTGATTTCGAGAAAAGAGGTGGAGGAGCTGGTGTTTGTTCTTCTGGTGGTGGCGGAGGCAATGATCGTGGAACTATTTGAAGCAAACCAATACATGAAGAATAAAATGCTAGAAAACTTACATATTGCAAAGAAGTCCCGGCATCCAGGTCCATGATGGCACTGCCGACCGTGATCTCTGTAGTTATCGAATGCGTCTTCATCAAAACAGTTGCCACTCACCCTGTATAACTTAGTTACTGGAATCATCCATCATAGTTCATATTAAAGAGCTTACCTGTCTCTAGGATATGGAACTGGCCTTGGGCCAGAAAAATAGTTGCACCTTAGATATCTGGAGAGGAAGGAAAATTTATCAAAACTTTTGAAACTTTCTTAGAAGCGCTTAGATAAAGTTACATGTTAGATGGTGTGGCATGATTCAAAAGCCATGTAGGAACATATCCTCTGAGCATATTTGCGTCCAGTCGCCTGTTATCAAAAGCTGGATTGATCCCTAGAGTTTCATAGCAAGAATCTACGAACTTACAGGGATTGCAAGCTCTGCATTTGGCTCCACGAGGCTGGGACTTCGCCAGTTAGATTGTTATTATGCAAGTGCCTGAAAGTCGAGAATGAAACAAGCATAGCTTGTATAGAACACTTACAGGAACGTCATGTTTGTAAAGTTTCCTCCCCATTCGGCTGGCAGTGGCCCTTGCAAGCCGCAGTCATGCAAGTTTCTGCAATGAGAGAAAGGCTCCATTATCAATAAAAAGAGTGATCGCAAGATAACAGCAGTGTTAGATTTCTCAGCCGGAGGCCAAGGCTGCTTGGAAGTTCTGCATTGAGTCCAGTACCCCAGAGTGACCTGTGTTGGAAACAACTTGGTAACCATGGAAGTTCCACCAAGAAACGATACTCACAGCTCATTTAGTCGCGAAAGCCTTCCAACCGTATCTAGAACAGTTCCTGTGAGATTGTTGCTGTTTAAGTGCCTATAAAAAAAATCAAACGCTGTTATATTTGCTCCAGAATGGGAGTAGACTTACAAAGTGTGAAGAGAGGAAAGGCTTGAAATCTCGTCTGGCAAAGCTCCTGTCAGATTACAAGCTCCCAAACGTCTAGCAAAAACAATGATCATGCATGGTTGACTAAAATATATAACTATCTTCAGACACTCGAACTTACAATTCAAGGAGACCCCTAATCTCCAAAACCGGTCTCGGAAAACTCCCTTGAAGTGGATTTCCAGATAAGTTCCTGATAAGTTCTCTCAAGCCTAACAAAAGAAGACGAAGTTTGTTGCTGTAAACTTACAGTGATCTCAGTGTGGACAATCTCGACAAGGACTCTGGCACGGGCCCCGTAATGTTGTTCTCCTGGAGGTCAAGATCTGCCAGCGTTGTGATGTTTCCCAGCTCATCTGGAAAGCTTCCGATCAAGCCAAACCCTGTCAAATTCCTGATATACAAACACAACACACCAATCACAAAGGGAATGAAAGTTTCCAAAACTTACAGAGCTGTAACACGGTTTCCAGTACATCCGACGCCATTCCACAGAGGATTGCAAGGATCGGATCCAGCCCAAGAAGAGAGATTTGCATTTGAAGGACCCAGCTGCTGCTTGATAGAGAGGAGAGCATCCGCTAGAGAAGGAAGAAGACCCACATTTAGCAAAGAACGAGTGGATTCATACATTGGAATTCTACCATCAGAATTTGCACTACACAGTCTTAGCAGCATCCAAAGAACAAGAGTGACCCCCCAGCCTGCCATATTCAAGGCGCTTAGAGAGCTATGGACCGAGACCCGAAAGGGCTTTCCAATTCGAAAATCGGGTAAAACAAAAATGCTTGACCAAGCAAGTCAAACTTATACTATTATCTCTTACTCACGTGTTTACACGAAGCCGCCGGAGAAAAAGACCTAGGATCACTACCAAACTTCTCCTTTGCCTCGGCGGGCCCGTAATCAACGTGGAAAATTTGTGGCCACTGCAACAATCATGAGCCTCCAACACAGAGGTGAAAAGACAAGAAACTCTTACCTGTGGCCATGGATTCCCCAGTGCACGAGTTGCAGGAGGCTGAGGAAGTAGCTCCAGATTTACAACGCTGGTGGACCACAGTACCGATGCAATCTGTGCCTGTATCGCCTCCTCCTATCACCACCACTTTCTTGTCCTTGGCGGATATGTAGTTGTTGTCCTTGAGCCAAATCCAGCAAACTCTTGGTATTCGTGTGAAGGAACTCCATGGCAAAACGTATGCCATCATATTCTCGGCCTTCTACTTTAAGGTCCCTGAAGAAAAACAAATAAAAAGATGGTTAGATCTAGAAACAAGTGGAGAAAAGCAAGAGTTGCAAGTAGTAAGCTATCATAGTCGGACATTAACCTCTCCACCGAGAATAACTTGTCAACTCCGACATTCGCATTAACGATGAACTCGATCCCTGCGGCAGCCATCAGGTTCACTCGCCGGTGAACGACCTCCACTTTGTTGGTCTTCATGTTTGGCACACCGTACATCATGAGGCCTCCAATTCTATCCACTCTCTCAAACACTGTCACAGAGTGGCCGGCCTTACTGAGCTGATCAGCGGCTGCTAGGCCTGCCATACCGCTACCTACAATCACCACTCTCTTCCTGCAAAGAGACAACGACGTGAGAAACCAGCGACGTGAGTAAACCTTGTCTCTACATACCCGGTCCGATAAGCTGGTGGACAATCCAGCCTTCCTCAAAAGCTTTGTCGATGATGGTACACTCTATCGTCTTAATGGACATCGGGTTCTCTATAATTCCCAGAACACAGGCACCCTCGCAAGGAGCAAGGCACACACGTCTTATGAACTCTGGAAAGTTGTTGGTTTCCAGGAGCCTATCCAAGGCTTCCCGCTAACGACCTTGGTGAACAAGCTCGTTCCATTCCGGAATCTTGTTTCCAATGTCATCCCGCAGGTACACAGAGATGAATAAATAACATAGCTGAACTGGACATACCTGGTTGCAGTTCTAATGGAGTGCCGCGCGGACTGGGTTTTAAGGAGGTCATCGCAAGGACCTCGTTCCAATGGGCCGGGTGATATGGAAGTGTTTCTCGTTCATACGAGATAAATCCCGATGTTTCACTGCGTCCGGAATTCTTGTTGGCCGCGCTTGGGCTTGAGTCTGACCACAAAGCGAACGTCAGAGTTGCAGGCCAGACAATCATTCAATTCTACCGCGACTACTGCAGCCGCTCCTCCGTTGGTAGCTGCTTCAGCCATTTTCTTCATTTCCTGGAAAGCATCCACAGCGGCCAGTCGCGCTTCCTCCTCCTCTGCCGCTCTTTTCTTGTCCTTCTCCTCGTTGAGAGCTCTTTTGTAGTCGAGAGGGAAAACTTTCACGAATTCGTAATTGGCCTGCAGGTGCATATGTTTGTTATGGAAAATGGTTGGATAACATATAGAAAGATTGAAATACCTCCCAGTTAAGCTGGTTATTTTCCGCGCATGCGAGGGACTCCATCGCCACTCCATTCAATCCTTTCTTCGCAGAGAGCAGCCACAGCTTTCACATACAGTGCGTGCTCCTGTCGGCAGCAAATCCCATTCAAAAACCAATCGAAACTAAAGAACAATCAAACCACGTACTTGTTCCAACACTCTGGCTGCCAAGTCTTGCGGCGTGTCCGTCTCTAGAACAGGAACTTCTCGCTGCGCAAGGATGCTCCCATTCTCATCCACGACATGGATCGTTGCGCTTGAGACACTGTTACAAAGTTGTTGCAAGCATGAAAGATAGAAGTTACCGAGCGCCGGCAGCCTCGTGGACTTGATTCCGTAGAAACCTTTGCCTCCAAATGCCGGGAGGAGCGCGGGGTGAATGTTGAGGATGCAGCACGAAATCCACTCCTTGATGCCTGCGAAAGATCGATCACAGATAAAGATAAATCTTCTAGCGCTTTTAGAAAAAAAGCATGAAACCAACCTCAGAATTTCCACGAGCTTGTTTGGAGAGACTCCATCTGGAGCGAACTTTGTTCTCGGATAATCGCCAGGGAAATCCCGTGCTCTCGAGCGTCCTCGCAAGCCATGCATTCTAAAATCCAAGACAAAAGAATGGGAAGAACTAAACTCTAGCTGGCTGGAATGCTATGGATTCTAGCCTTGGAGAAAAACCAAGAAGAACTAACCTCGAGAATCGATCGTCGCTCTGTGGATGCTCCGAAAGTTTGATCCGCCGCCGGATACCAGGCTTCCTCCTCATCGCGGGATCGCCTTGCGCTTCTCTGAGGCAGCAGCAATGGGAATCCCAGCTCCGTGGTTGAGGAAAGAAATGCCGCTGCGCGATTGGAACTGGAGCACATAATGCAAAAGATCGGGGAGGCTGCTTGGATCGCTTAGGATTTGAAGGTCGCGTGTTCGATCCACGCTCACCGCTTAAGCTTTGTGAAAAACAATGGTGACTTAAATCAAACCTCGGGCGGCGTTATTGGATAACAAGGAAGGGTCTCAAGAAATTGCGCAAGGCAGGTAGCGAGTATGACAAACTCAGCAGGTTTTCCAAGGAGAAGAGGCTGGTGGGATCCAGACTTGGCCATTTGCTGGGTTTGCTCTACATCCACCAGCACTGGGATCTCTTCCAAGATTTCATCTCCGAAGAGGTTTTCCAGACTTCCATGCAGCCCTCAACTCGCTCGACGTTTCCTGGACTCAGGTAACAGGTTTGGGGTGGTTTTATGGTGGGAGCTGAACTGACTCATGTTTCTGTAGAAGATGCGACTCAAAGGATGGCTGTCAGCGATGCTTTGCTGTTTGACCGCTTTGCTCAGCGCAAAACGGTGAGTGTTTCCTTCCTCCTTTTGTTTCTGTTTTATGTCTCTTACCAGTTCATGTAGATGGATCTTTCAAGTGAAAAGTTTGGTGAACGAGCTCAACCCGTTTATGAGGCCCTCTCATATGATATAGCAGTCATCACCAAGCTACGGCAAACTCAGCAACAGCTGGAGCTGCTGCTCTGCAGCATCAAGTGGGAACCGTTTATCGAGGACTTGCTTGTGCCTTGCCTTCTTCCAGACGTTCTGACACACCGGGAGAAAGTGGAAGACGCGGTCGCGCATGCTCGGCTCATGTTGATAGAAGCAGACGCGAATATTTTCTATGGCTGCTCCTTCAACTGTAAGTATGCCGCGCTTTGGTTTATCATTATCTTCTGTGTATGCTGAACTCAAACCAGCAGCAAAGGCTCGGGACTGAGAAACAAAAGCTCCATGACAGCAGCCAGCTACTCTGGTATAGCTACTCAGCTACCCAGTTTCCTGCTTGTCATCTTCGTCTTGCTTTCCTTGCGTACAGGCACATGCTTCGCAATCCTTCTCCCATAGACAAGTTGTTCAGGTGCTTTTACCTTGAGGCAGTGCTACATTCAACGACGTATGTCTCCCGTTTTCCTTTCTTATCTTTGTGAATTCGCTTAAATATTTGTGTCCAGGGCCGGGGGGGTCAAAGTGCTGACCCCGGAAGACTATCCGGACACAGTCCCTCCTGAGTTTCAAGAGGACATTTCTGAAAAAGATCTGCGCGTGTTTCGCATCATTCCTCATGAAACTTCGTTCGGGTATGTATACTATGCAAGTGCATTTGAATCTCTCATCTCCTTGATCTGGTGATCTTGCGCTTTCTGTCTCAGCTCAAAGTCGAACGTGGTTTTTGCAAGACTGTGCGACTTTGACCTCAAGAGCATCCTGTTGGGGGAGCCCGTGGCCAGGGAAAGGGTGTGCCAAGCTCATATACTTATCGACAAGGTCTGGCCAACTCCAAAGGAGCTGTACGAGTGTCGCTAGAAAAGCCAACAAAACTGTGACAAAAAAAATTGCACCTGTCAGCGAGAATACCTGGTCGAGCTGGGACTGAGGCTGCACATTTGGAGGTCCGCTAGAGGCATCAATCACCCATTCCTAGCTGACCTGCAAAATCCATGGGAAAAGCATGATCTCGATCTCTACGTGGAGTTTGCAGCAAAGACTTGGTCCAGCTTCTTTCTCTTATTTCTCCTTTCCATGACAGCAGTGGGTGGAGAGCAACATCACAATGTTGGAACTTGAAAGATGCCGTTAGAGCTCATCCTCGCAGTCTATTTGGCGATCAAGAAGCCAGGTTTGTGTGTGCACTATCCCCTCCCCCCTCTCTCTCTCTCTCTCTCTCTCGTGTCTCGTGTGATGATTTAATCGGGAGTGCCTACCACACCTTACAGCCTTTATTAAGTTACATATAGCTTTCAAAGATATATAGAATGCACAACATCTGCAAACTTGAAGATGTTCCTAGACAAAAATTATTGATACTTGTAGAACTAACGCAATTGACAGTTGTGGTGGTTGCTGACGATTGTTTGAGCTAAGCACACAGGCATCTTACGATTTGAAATACTGCGCACAAGCGGGGCACATGAACGGTACCTGAGTGACACAGTTGACTTCGTTTCTACGTTCTTCCCCTGCTTCTTCGACTAGATCTGCCCCCTGTTCTGGATCCACCTCCGGTGCTGGATTGTAGTGGACACAAGGCTGGTGGTACCACAGGTCACAAACGTCACACTGCACCCAGGGAGCATCGCCTCTATCTTCCCAACAGTCGGAGCAGCTTTGCAAATCCTGTGACAGACGAGAGTTCCATTAAAGAGGAAAAGGAACAAGAAAACAAAAGACAGCATACCGTTCTGGCTGTGTTTTTCCTGAGCTCGTCCAGCCTCGCATCAATGCTCGAAAGCTGTACACTGAAGAAGCTGAAAGGCATCACGACGACATAATACTCGAGGCCAGGATGGACTCTAGATGTTGCTCGGTACGAGACCCACCTGTCCGTGTAAATCACCCACACAAGCACCTTGATCCGCTTGTCGCCAACAAACAGTTCCTCAGCCTTCTTCGCCGTCTTCTTGTGATGAGTGATGGCGTTCTTGGCGACAGAAAAATGGAGAGCCACGATGAAGTTTTCGTCTTCCAAATAGATGTCAATGCCAGCGTGGTTAAAGTCGTATGGGACATGCGCTGTTCCTTCAACGGAGAGCAGCTTTCCGGACATTGGTCCATGGAAGTTGAGGACGTGCTTCACTGTTATGTGTGCCCTTTTGCCTTGTGCGTAATAAAAGCCTTGAGTCATAAACTTTGTGCTGAGGATTCCTGCCATCTCGGCATTCCAGCCGATGCGAGCCATGTTGTCGTCCTTAGCAACGGCTTGTACCCAGAAGGTGACCTGCTTCCGCTGCTCATCGAGGTCATCCTCGCGCATGAGTCCAGCTAAGGTGCTAAGCGCATAGGAATGAAAATGAGGGGTGAGAGCCTCGAGCGTTCCATCTTTGCCCACGTAGAAGCACTTGGGCTCTAGCAGCAGAGGAAGCCTTGGAACTGTTTCTGTGCCCGTCAACTCTTTCTGGAGCTGCTCTCGAACGTTCCCTCCCAGGTGGCGCTGGATGAACGTATGTATATCTGCCTCAAATGATATGATGCACTGGTGGAACACTTCCATGTCTGTGTCGAATTGATCCAGCAGCCTTGGAACTCGACCTGTTTTAGACAGATCGACGCGCTGGAACTGAAAGAGGTTGAGATAGGATGCCAGTTCTTCGTCCTACAAAGCACACACATCTCAGAATGTGAAGAACAAGACGCCTAAGAACTTACATTCAGTCCTCCAACAACCAGCTTGTACTGCGGGGCCTTGGGATGACGAAGGACTTGCGTCCATACACTTGAAATTGAAACACAAAAGACGACGACGCAATATTCGAGAAGCCTGCAGAGAGATTGTAGCCCCGGACTATCTCTCGCCAACCTGTTGCCGTCATCAACGACAATGGTCAGGTCCACATTTATCATCCTCTTCAAGAAGTTTTCCACGTCGAAGATCGATACTTGGCCCGCCTCTATCGCTTCGAGCTCCTGCAAGGCAGCGTTGTCGTCCACAAAAGCCTGAAACAGCCCATCCCAGAGCGTATTCTCCGGGAAAAAAGCCATTTTAACTCCATCGACCAGCATAATCCGACGCGGCCGAGACGAGGAGCCGATCCTGTCGCGCGCGAACTTGCCATAGAGGTAGAGCACAGACGCTGCGACGCTGCAACTCTTGCCAGCGCCCGGGGTGCCCGTTATGTACCTGAAACCGTAAATACCGTAAGGACGAAGCTGCTTGCGACCGCGCTTTCCTGGAGCCGAGACTATTATCGATTCTGGGAGTTTGACCTCGGGGCGCTCCTCCTCTATGAAATCGATGAGCTCCTTGGTGAGAGGCCTGCCCATGTAATCAAACGTCGTCCGGTGCGAGAAATGGTAGACTTCCATAACCTTGGTCGGATCCTGAAGATCGGCTTCAGTGAGCTGGGCGGAGAAAGCCATGAGCAGCCCATGGATCCTCTCCGCATCCTCACGACGGACATCCACAACCCTCTGGCGCTTGACACCGCCGCCGTCTTCCATCCAAAAACCCTAATGGTTGCAAAACAATGTACTAAAGGAATATATGTGAATTTTGGCAAGTTCAACTGTTAGACTTAGAGGTGAGCACCCTCTGGACTAGAGCTTTTGCTATGAAATTAAAAAGATATCTTAAGAATGGAGGTAATAATCTTATATTACTTTAAACTTATTCGAATCTAAGTTGGCAGTACTATACAAGTGTTCTTAATATATATTATTCACTGTTATAATTTTCTCCCCATCTGAGTTGGCCATGGTGTGTGAGCTATGGTCCTCACCACTATCTCTAGGAAGCTACCTCTCAATGTTTGTGACCCAGATTATTTACCTTGAGAGCTATTGAGAATGCTGAAGCTGTGCTTATAGTTTGGAAATATAAACTATGGGTGCAACACAATCATTTTATGTCAAATCCAACATAGCACTGCCACGATTGAGTTGCTTTGTCTAGGACAAACAAACTCACTCTTATTGGCCACTTCACTACTGGATATTCTGCGACATGGCTTATTATCGCCAGGTTATTGTTTTGCATCTTCATTTCTCTTTCTTGTTTTTTCTTCTTTCAGTCTCTGGGAGGCATATGAATTCCCTTTCTCTTTAGGTGATCTACAAAATGATATAGGATTGTAATAGTTATCTTTGCCACCACTTAGGATTTACATTCCCTCCTCCTTTTATGTCCATTGCAATCCTAGACCTTTAGTCATAAGTTCCACTTGTTTCCTCTTGAAAGGAATCTCCATTCCTTAACCAGAATGCCAGTAGGTATGGATCTCTATGTTGCTTTGTTTATCCTAAATGATCATCCACCAGAGCTGCTGGCAACGATCAAATGGAAAGTTCCAAGTGATAATGCTGGCCTGGCTGCGTGAACGATCAAAGATCGTAGATCAGGTTTCGCCACTCTCCCTATGTCCTCACCGTCTTTGCCCGATTTCTCCCAAACCAAAAGAAGCAAGTCTTTCCTTGTGGGATTTGATTGATAAGTTGGAGGAAAGCGAAGTTGCTGCTGGTGCTATTGTTCTTCATTTGAATCGTCTGTGTTGATAAGGCGCCATCAAATGCCAGCTAATATCCGGTTTAGAACTAATCTGAAAATACACTAAATATAATTTTTGATTAGAACCACTCCTTTAATTAGGATAAAAACCAACCCAACAAAATTTACAACAGGCAAAATTTGGCTGTCCATTTTATATCAACATCCCCATCTTCTTCCGAGCAGCCTTGAGCTCCTCGCCAACCTTGGAAGTGTCTTCCATCAGAAACTTGTCAATCTGTGCTGCCGCTTGCCTCCCTTCGGCAATCGCCCACACAACCAGCGATTGTCCTCTTCGACAGTCACCAGCGGCAAAGACACCCTTGACATTTGTAGCAAATTTGCCATACTCTGCTTTAAATGTGGTTGCTGCATCATTGGTAGCCACTTTGAGCTTCTCAGCTACGTCCTGGAAAGGAGAAGCGTCAGCTGGAATGAAAAGAAAAGAAGAACTTAGCTCATTTCACCTGTTCTGGTCCCACGAATCCCATGGCCAAGAGCACCAAATCTGCCTCTATTATCTCTTCCGACCCTTCGATTTCCTCCCTCTGGAATCTCCCACTCGCGTCCTTAAACCACCGCACCCGTTTGAGCACCAAGCCGCTGACACGGTTATCACCATCGGTGATAAACTTCTTTGTGGTCACCTCATACGACCTGGGATCACTACCAAACTTCTCCTTTGCCTCGGCATGCCCGTAATCAACGCGGAAAATTCGTGGCCACTGCAACAATCGCGAGCCGTAAGGAACACTCCAACACAGAGACGAAAAGACAAGAAACTCTTACCTGTGGCCAAGGATTCCCCGGTGCACGAGTTGCAGGAGGCTGAGGAAGTAGCTCCAGATTTACAACGCTCTTGCAGCCGTGGCGGACCGCAGTACCGATGCAATCTGTGCCTGTATCGCCTCCTCCTATCACCACCACCTTCTTGTCTTTGGCGGATATGTAGTTGTTGTCCTTGAGCCCCGAATCCAGCAAACTCTTGGTATTCGCGTGAAGGAACTCCATGGCAAAATGTATGCCTTCATATTCTCGGCCTTCTACTTTAAGGTCCCTGAAGAAAAACAAATAAAAAGATGGTTAGACCTAGAAACAAGTGAAGAGTTCCATACCTGGGCTTAGTAGCGCCACAAGCAAGTAGTAAGCTATCATAGTCGGACATTAACCTCTCCACCGAGAATAACTTGTCAACTCCGACGTTCGCATTAACGATGAACTCGATCCCTTCGGCAGCCATCAGGTTCACTCGCCGTTGAACGACCTCCACTTTGTCGGTCTTCATGTTCGGTACACCGTACATCATGAGGCCTCCAATTCTATCCGCTCGCTCAAACACTGTCACGGAGTGGCCGGCCTTATTGAGCTGATCAGCGGCTGCTAGGCCTGCCGGACCGCTACCTACAATCGCCACTCTCTTCCTGTAAAGAGACAACGACGTGAGAAACCAACGACATGAGTAAAACTTGTCCCTACATACCCGGTTCGATAAGCTGGTGGACGAGGAACCATCCAACCTTCCTCAAAGGCTTTGTCAATAATGGTACACTCCATCGTCTTAATAGAGATAATTCCCAAAACACAGGCACCCTCGCAAGGAGCAGGGCACACACGTCCCGTGAACTCTGGAAAGTTGTTGGTTTCCAGGAGCCTATCCAAGGCTTCCCGCCAACGACCTTGGTGAACAAGTTCGTTCCATTCCGGAATCTTGTTTCCAAGGGGACATCCACTGCTATCCTGCAGATACAAAGAGATGACTAAATAACATAGATGAACTGGAGGGGAAGTCATACCTGGTTGCAGAATGGAGTGCCGCAATCCATACACCGGGCAGACTGGGTTTTAAGGAGGTCATCATTCCTGCCGGTAGCAAGGACCTCGTTCCAGTCTTGCATTCGTTACTGGGCCGGGCGATATGGAAGTGTTTCTCGTTCATACGAGATAAATCCCCGATGCTTAACAGCGTCCGGAATTATTGTTGGCCGCGCTTTGGCCGGAGTCTTGAAACAAGGCAAGCACGTCAGAGTTGAAGGCGACATGAATATTCAATTTTACCTCAGCTACTGCAGCCGCTCCTCCGTTGGTAGCCGCTTCGGCCATTTTCTTCAATTCCTGGAAAGCATCCACAGTGGCCAGTCGCGCTTCCTCCTCCTCTGCCGCTCTTTTCTTGGCCTTCTCCTCGTTGAGAGCTCTTTTGTAGTCGCGAGGGAAAACTTTCACGAACTTGGGAAGCGCAGAGTCAAACTCATCCAGGATTTGCTTTGCATGCTGGCTTTTCGTGTGTCGCTGATGCTGTTGAATCATAGCCCTCAAAGTCAACACATCCTCGTCCTCAAGAACGTCTTCGAGGTCGACTTGTCCGGGGTTGCATCGGAGCCTGAACTTTCCGTCCACATCATATACGTATGCTATCCCCCCGCTCATTCCAGCAGCAAAATTCTTCCCCGTCTTCCCAAGAATAACGACTGTGCCTCCAGTCATGTATTCACAGCCGTGATCTCCAACGCCCTCCACGACTGCCTTTGCGCCGGAGTTTCTAACGCAGAACCGCTCAGCGGCCATGCCGTTGAAATACGCTTCACCACTTGTGGCCCCGTACAGAGCAACATTCCCAATGACGATGTTCTCTTTGGGGTCAAATCCGCTGTCCCTGGGAGGATAAACCACGACCCTGCCTCCACAAAGTCCCTTCCCAACGTAGTCGTTGCTGTCACCTTCCAGCTCCAACGTAATACCCCGACATAGAAACGCGCCTAGACTCTGTCCTGCATTTCCTGTAAGCTTGACGTGAATGGTATCAGCCGGAAGGCCTTCCATCTTGTACTTCTTGGTGACTTCGTGACTGAGCATGGTTCCTACGGCCCGGTTCACGTTCACAACGGGTGACTCCAGATATACCGGGTACCCGTTCTCTAGAGCATGCTTAGAAACTTTGATGAGTTGCTGATCCAAAGCCATGCCGAGATTGTGATCCTGCTTCTGCACGCAGCGTTGAGCAGCGTCGGGTCGAATATCAGCCGCAGGTCGAAGAAGAAGCGACAGATCGATGTTTTTCAGCTTCTCGTTGCTTGCTGTGACGGACTTGTACACCTCTAGCATGTCAGCCCGTCCAACCATTTCGTCCATCGTCCTGAATCCCATTTCGGCCATAAGTTCACGAGCTTCCTCCGCTACCATGAAGAAAAAGTTGATCACGTCTTCGGGTTCTCCGGCAAACATTTCCCGTAGTACCGGGTCTTGAGTAGCGATTCCCACGGGACAAGTGTTCTAGTGGCACTTCCTCATCATGATGCAGCCCAACGTAATCAATGGAGCAGTGCTGAATCCAAATTCTTCCGCTCCAAGCAGAGCAGCTATCACAATGTCCCGTCCAGTTTTCAGCTGTCCATCAGTTTGCAATGTGGTCCGTCCTCGAAGATCATTTGCAACTAGCGTCTGATGAGTCTCTGCAAGACCAAGCTCCCACGGCAAGCCTGCATTTTTTATGCCAGTCCAGCGCGACGCACCGGTACCCCCTTCATGGCCCGAAATCAGGACGTGGTCTGCATGGCCTTTCACGACCCCGCTGGCCACTACACCAATACCGGCTTCAGAAACTAGCTTCACGCTGATACGAGCACCTGGATTCGAATTCTGCAACGAAAGGAAAAGTCACAACACGAAAAGAAATATATCGAAATAGCTTACCTTCAGATCATAAATAAGCTGAGCAAGGTCTTCAATCGAATAGATATCATGATGTGGTGGAGGACTTATCAAACCAACGCCCGATGTAGAGTTTCTTGTTGTCGCAATGTCTCCTATAACCTTGTGCCCCGGAAGCTCACCTCCCTCTCCAGGTTTTGCTCCCTGCGAAGAAAAGAAGAAAAAAGAAATAGAAACGCCTAGTTACTTTACAAAATAAACGAACCTGAGCCATTTTGATTTGAAGTTCATCAGCATTCGTAAGATAATAACTGGTGACTCCAAATCTTCCACTGGCGACTTGCTTGATAGCACTTCTTTTCGGGTTCATCTGGCCGTTAGGCAAAGCCTCCAGTCGAGAAGGATTTTCACCTCCCTCACCTACGAATTCGAGTTTAGGTGGGCTAGAAGATTTTTAACAGTAACTTACCAGTATTAGATTTTCCTCCGATTTGGTTCATTGCCATCGCCAAAGTTGTGTGAGCCTCCAAGGAAATAGAGCCGTAACTCATAGCACCAGTACAGAAACGCTTCACGATTTCGCTGGCAGGTTCCACCTCCTCTAATGCAACCGGAGTTTTGGAAGCTTTGAACTTCAACATCCCACGCAGGCTGCATTTTTTGTTCAGTTCGTAAATCCGCTTCGAGTAGTCCTTGTAGGCTCCAACGCTGTTAGTCCGAGCAGCTTCCTGTAACTTTGCCATCGCTAGCGGGTCATTCAGATGAATCTCGCCATCTTTCCTCCAGTGATAGTCTCCGGGATTTGGCAGAGCATGAGCTTCAGCACTTCCCGGTGGCAGCTTGCGAGAGGGAAACGCCAGCTCATGCAATCGAAGCGAATCCTTTGCAAGCATCTCAAACGTAGCACCCTCCACCCTGCTTGGTGTACCTCTGAAGCACCTCTGCACTACGTCCGAAGAGAGGCCAAGGGCTTCGAAGATTTGAGCTCCTTTGTACGATGCCAAGGTTGAAATGCCCATCTTGGCAAGGACCTTGAGAATACCCGAATTCGAAGCTTTGAAGTACTTCTGGACCAGCTCGTCTTTAGAACTTAGGACTCCATTCTCCTTAGATGGTATTTTGCCATCTACCTGTAACCTCCAGATAGCTTCAACGGCCAGGTAGGGACATATCGCGTCTGCTCCAAATCCTAGGAGTGTGCAGAAGTGATGTACCTCCCTAGGCTCACCAGATTCCACCACTAAACCAATGCGCGTACGCTCAAGAGTTGAGACGAGATGGTGATGAACAGTTCCAACAGCCAATAAAGAGCTCACTGGAACTCGTTCAGGAGAGGTTCCTGATTCATGAGCAGTATATAAGTGATCTGAAGCTGAAAAGTGTATGATAAAAAATACCTCTGTCCGAAAGAACCAGCATTTTGAACCCCTTCGATATGGCTTTCCTGGCTTCCACACATATTCTGTCCAGAGCTTTCTCCAGACCAGTAGGTCCTTCCTCTCGTGGAAACGTGATGTCAATTATTTTGCTCCGCCAACCCTGGTAGTTCATCTTCTTCAGCGCTTCCATTTCCAAAGGTGATATGAGCGGTCCCTTCAGAGAGAGCCGGTGGAATTGCTCTTCTGTCGACTCCGTCAAATCACCCTCCGGTCCGATCATGCACTCTGTCGATGTGACGATAGCTTCACGGATAGGATCTATCGGCGGATTTGTAACTTGAGCAAACATCTGCTTGAAGTACTCGAAGCTGAGCTTTGGCCGATCGGTCATAACGGCCAACGGTGCGTCATTTCCCATCGAGCCAAGGGCCTCCACACCATCTTTGGCCATTGGAAGTAACAGCATCTCGAGCGCTTCAACAGTGTACCTACACAAAGGTATAAAAACATCAGTGAAGGTGATGGAGACCAGACCGGCTAGGACTCTGATACCAAATGTCTTGAACAGCCTTTGGCACTTGTTACTGTATTTGCAGTGACGTGCTGAGGATTTAACTTCCTAATAGACCTTACAAGAGCAACCAAACATAAGAAAAAAAATGGAGAGAAGTATACCCAAAAGCTTTGAGCGGTGGTACCAATCCATGAATCCCCATGTTGTCCCTCGTTGCATCCGTCTTTTTAGGCTGCAAATCCTCCATGAGAACCAGGAACAATGAAAACAAATAAAAGAAATCAGGGACGGAAATTACCTGCAGAGTTCCAATAATTCGTGGAGATGTGCAGTCTTCTGAAACAGAGTCCACGATGTCCTTGAGCAAAATTTTCTGATGTTGGAGCCACTCAGCATATGGTTGACGCGTAGAATACTCTTTCTTAAGGGCGTCGTCGTCCACAACGGCATGGTTCTCAAAATCCACGAGAAGCATCATACCCGGATTTAAGCGACCTTTTTTGCTTACATCCTGGGGTGGCACATCGACTACGCCGACCTCACTGCCCATGATCACGCGGCCACTATGAGTGATGTAGTAACGCCCTGGTCGAAGTCCATTTCGATCCAGAGTTGCACCAAGATAACGACCGTCCGAGACTGGGAGAAATACGACAGACAATTAAAAGCGCTCTACAACCAACAGGATTAGCACTTACAAGCAATAAGCGCAGGTCCATCCCAAGGTTCCATCAAAGCAGAAAAGTACTCGTACAGAGCTCTTCTTTCTGGATCCATATTCTTGTCATTCTGCCATGCTTCCGGTATCATCATCATCATTGCCTCCGGAAGACTTCGACCAGAGCGTACAAGAAACTCCAACACACCATCAAATGAACCTACAACAACACCATTAAAATCCCTCAAAATACGCTCGTTCACTCACCGGAGTCGGAGGAGCTAGCGTCAACAATAGGAAGCAGTTTCTGGAGTTCGTCATTTGAAAGGTCAAGCGCTCTGCATTTCAAAAGGCCTTCCCGAGCTCGCATCCTGCACTCTGGGGTTACTGGTGTTTCTAAATTCGCAAGATTATTACCAATTGACATTTCCTCGAAGAGTATTGATTTCTCCATTGTGACCAAGAACTCTCATTGGTTGCGCCCGATCCCAGCTAGGAAATGTGTTTGTTGAAAATCTTGAATGCACCTACAATTACAACGCCACTTAGATGAATATGGAGGAAATTGATGTGCTCACCAAAGCCATATAGCTTGTAAATTTGTCGTGACAAAGATCGGACGCGTAGTATTTCTTGAGCTGGTCTGGTTTGAGCTGCCCCTTGTAAACAACAGTTCTCGATGAAAGGGAACAGATGTAGAAATCACGAACAGCACCATGCTGGAGATTAAGAGCAGCTCGAATGGCAACCATGGACAGCTTGCGCAAAATATACATCTGCGGCACATATTAAAGTGTCAGTGCGACCGATGAGAAAAAATAATTGTCAAGATCACAAACTGCCTGTAGTGTTATGATCACCTCCATTCGAACTCGAAGAATAGAATGGAAGCCTGTGGCATAAAGGAACACATCCCTGCAAACCGGGTAGAAGAGAGGAATGTGACTCGGAAGCAGTAGGTTATTCATGACAGACCAGGGAATAAAGTTGGAATGGACCCATCAGCATAAAGAACTCAATCTAACCAGATTTATCATTTCGGTTAAGCACAGGAAGAGAGTAGAGACAAGTACCTGCTGTTCTAAGCTGGCGGACGACCTGGAGCTGCCCGTCAAAAACACTTGCTCCACAACGGGCTCAGTCGCAAGAGCCGATTTCCCCAGATCCGAGTTGTCGGTCACAACACTTCGCCAGCCAAGAACCGTGTGTCCAAGAGACTCTGCGACCTGCAGTAGTACGAACACAAATATAAAAATCCAAAAGCGAAAGAGAAAGTCAGCAAAAGACATCACCTTGTTAAACACGTTTTTGCTTTCCATCCGCCTCGTCTCGGAAGTGGGAAGAAAAAACATGCCGACGGCGTACTCGGATGGAGGGGGAAGTTCACATCCGATCTCGTCTTTGGCGATCTAGGAGAACAACGTTCAAACCAAGAGGGAGAAAAAAAAACTGGAGGGCAGCATGCACAGAAAGTTACCGATGCAAAGAAGTCATGGGGGAGTGCCAAAAGAACGCCTGCACCATCACCAGTGTTAGTTTCACAGCCACAAGCACCACGATGTGCCATTCTTACAAGCATCTCCAGAGCATCAGTGACCTGCAAGAGGAAAAGAAAAACGCACGAAAATCTCATCAATTCGGGATACAATCCAATTGAGCTAGAACTTACAGTCTGGCGGCTCGGCTTGGCTGAAAGCTCGGCAACAAAACCCACCCCACACGAATCCTTGTCCAATGCAGGATCGTAAAGTCCAAGAGGACCCTCTGGCACTTGAGACATGGACGACATGGTGACCACGCAGCGGTACATTCTCCGCTCCCCATTCCATCGCTGGAGATGGCTGCTGCCAGTGCCCCATCTATCCAAATTTCTCGAGGGCAAAAAACTAGTGTGAAGAACCTTCAGTCCGGCGGTCGCGCATGACAAGGACGGCACAGCTGAGCTCAAGCGGCTGGAGCAGATTGACCCCAAAGCGGTAGCTTCCGTTGCTCGAGCGCGGCGGTGCATCCATGCTGCCTGGTTCAAGGACAATCCCAGGCAAGCCTGCATAGCTGCTCTCGATCTCTACGCTCGCACCAAGAAGCCTCGAATCAAGCCCTCGCGCGAGTGAAATGCGGGCGGCAGCGATCAGGCACACAATTCCTCGAAATCTTGAATCGGACTCGCTCGCTGGGGGGATCCTCTCTCGACAATCACAGAGATCTCTCGGGGGACGCACCGCCAAAGATCGATCGCTCACTGCCTAGACGCGAAACCCTAGCGCCTGATCGAAGACTAGGAAGCACCACAGCATGGGGAAATATAAATAGCAAAAATATTATTTGTTTTTAAATCTAACATGGTGGGACGTGGCAAGGGCCGGTAGGACGGGTAGCTCCGTCAATGGATTAAACGGCTGGGATTGATCCCACACAGTGCATCGTAAAAGGATAAGCTCGATCAAAAAATTAAAGTTTGCGAGATTCGACAAATCTGTCCTATCAAGGTGTAAGTTACTCTTGGCCTCTCAACTTCGCCAATAGACAGGCAACGCTTAAGGGCGGCCAGAGACAAAGGGTGCCTGTGTAGCCAAAAAATCGAGGGCTTATCGCCTGGAGTTCTTCCAACTTAACCATCCATCTTCATAGGCTCGCTTGGAAAATCTCCAGATTTTAAGCTCCTGACTTGTCTCGCGGAAAAGAATGTCTCCTGTTTCAAAGTTCCACCCGGCATCAAATCTCTTACGGACAGAAAAGAAAAAAAGAAAAAATAGAAAACTAGAAATCAAAAGCTTACAACATACCAGCAAACTGGAGGTGGAGGAGAGATCGCTTTCGCTTAGTTTTTCTTGCGGAATCTTATAAATGTTGGCGTCTAGTCGCCCCTTAGCAGCAGCCTAGCAACATCCATCAGGCATTAAAGATAGAGAATAAGAACAACCGAAATAAAAAAGAAAGAAACAATACGAGAAGGAAACGTGCCCGCCAAGAAAACAATGCTTTGAACACGACACACGATTCCCGGTTAGATCTTAATACAAAGAAGAAACAAGCAAACCTCTCGAGCTTCGCAATCTTTCATTATTTTACTCCCAAGAGCCAGTGGTCCTGATGCCATCGCTGGGAAGCGCAAAACCGACCAAAAAAAATACGGAGGGTAGTGTTCCTCGCGTCACAGTTGACCCCACACAAATAAATTCCCAGAGATATATAACTCGTCCATGTGAAAAATTGCGTGAAAAGCCTGCAGATACGAGCGATCAGAACGACGGCGACCTCGTCAACTTTTGTCCTAGAGCGAACCTTGTCGCGACAGGTTTGCAGTTAAATATATCGCACGAGCTTCCTTAACTCGGCGCCGTTTCCGTTGGTCAAGAAGAAGAGCCGGTTGATGGCATCCTCCTGAGGCTCATTGTGCAACAGATTTTGCCTGAGAAACAGCCAACAGTTGTAAAGATGTCAAGGAAAAGAGGAGACCGTAGCATTACTTGTGATAGTATCGAATAGCGGCGTGAATCTCTTCCTTGTCTGCGCGAGCAACGTCAATTCGAAACCTCTTCGGAGCTCCGGGAAGTTCCAGGGGAAGCTTGCCGACAGCTGTCGACTGTGAAAAGGCTCCAACAAAGAGTTGACGCGATGTTTCCATCCTCCGGAAAGCGCTCACCTGTAGTCAGACAGGGCCATCAGATTTGAAAATGAAAGGTGAAGTTAACAAACCATTCCTAGCTCTTTGGCATGAATTTGACGAGTCTTCTTAAAATCCAGGAATTGGTGATACTCGCTGAACGTAAACCAACTGTTAAACTGCAACAGGGACCCAGAATGGTCAGAAGGAAAACATTGAAACCACGTATACAACCTCGTCAACCGCGATCAGGACTGGGAACTCTGTGACGAGATCAAGCTCTTGTCTCAATCTCACAACGATGTTGGAGGCAGCAGCTTGCACGTCAAGCCCCTTTTCCACAAGATCTTTCACGGTCGAGTTCTCCGGCATAGTAATTTCTTGTGGACCTGGTATACGACCAAGCGCAGCAGTTTCACCCAAAAATATAGGATCCGGAACACGACACTTGATCTGTTCCAGCATTTCGCCATGACTGTCCAAAAACTCCTAGAAAATGAAGCAAATTAGTTACAAGCATAAAAACTGCAAGTGAATGCTTACCCGTAAAACCTTCTGAGCTTGTATAGGTGTGTCCCAAAGTCCAGTAAGCTCATTCAAATAATAGTACCCTCCCCTGGTCCATTCTTGGCCCCTGGGTACGTAAAAAACAAGCCAACCTTGAGCACGAGCCCATTGGACAATCACCGCGAGAGCAAAACTTTTTCCACATCCTACAGGTCCATCGAGAATGTGGTGCTTGGAGCCCCTCATCCCTGAGAGATGTTACAAAGGTCAGACAAAAACACAAGAGTGCCTAAACTTACTTTGATCTTTCTTGCTAGATATATGGAGCTTCATGCCGTCGTCCTTCTTTGCCTCTTCATCCTCATCTTCCGCATGAGTATCATCTTTGTCTTGGACCTCTTCGCTCGACTTCTCTCCTTCTTCAGAGGTAACACTTGTGTCGGATTCCTCGCTCTTCACGCTAGCTTTCGGCTTATCCGCTTTCACAAAGACGGCATCCCTGGCGAGATTGTAAGGCAAAACGTCCGGCGAGACGAAAGCAAACTCGCCAGTGGCGGAGTACTGGAGCTTGTTAATGATTTCAAGAACACATCTTCTAACTCGAACGAACCTGCTTCTCGACATCTCAAATTCTTTCATAACTCCCTTCGGAAATCCTTCAGTAAAGTACTTCGTCACATCCTCCTCACTACAAAAGAAAAAAAAGAGAGCGTCTTCAGTCTCCATTTCTCGAAGAACAATGAAGAATAGAAACTCACCTTATGTGGAAGTACTTGTTGATATCCTCGGCAGTGATCTCGTGAACTTTCCTTGCTCCAGTGAAGAGATTGTCCTCGGCAATCTCTCCTGGTTCCTTAATGGTATAATCCTCAATGCCTACAGTCCCTGTGCTACCACCACCCCCTTCCGATGCTCCAGCGCCTCCTTTCCCAGACCCCTTCCCTCCAGCAGCTCCTTTCTTCCCTCCTTTCGCCGCCTGAGGGCCCTTCTTCGTCTTGGCCTTGGGCGTCACGGCTCCCTTCTTCGTCGTCGCAAACCCGCGCCTGAAATCCAATCCTCCCAGGCCTACATTGCTCAATCCATGATCCCCGCCGATAATCGCCGGAGCGCATTCTCTAGCATTACATCGACACAGACCTGGGCTTGCGCTCCGCGGCACTGATCGAGCGAGGCGCCATAGCCGCGCCGCGGCGGACATCGCCAGAGTCTCTCCAAGAGGAAGAACCCTAGCCCAGGGGTTTTAGGGCTCTACTTGGCACGATTCCATCCGTCGGGAGGGAAAGCTTTCTGGCCGTCGGATCTCTGTACATGTTGGAGAGAAGCACGTAGCCCGCCACATTCTTGGCGTCCATATCCACCATTCTCTGCGACGCTCGAGCTCCTCTCTTGGAATCCTTGTGGCTCTTACACCCGGCTAGCAGCGCCGTCCAATCCAGCGAATCCGGCACGAATGGCATGGTATGGATGAGCTCCTCCGATTCCTCTAGATGGCCCGATCGCGCGAGAAGATCCACCGCGCAGCTATACAATTGCTTGGTGGGTTTCACCGCGTGATCCATTTGCATCGATCGGAAGCACGCGAGCCCATCCTTGAACTTGCCACTGTGGCTGCAAGCCGCGATCGCGCACACGATCGTCGCCTCGTCAGGTGATTCCGCCGCCAAATTCATCGCGCCAAAGAACTCCATTGCGATCTCGAAGCTAGCCTTTTGGGCGAATGCCGCAAGCATCGCCGTCCAAGACACGCGGTCGCGCTCGTCCATGGATTTGAAGAGATTCGCCGCATCTTCCACGCGCCCTTTCTGGGCATATGCCGAAAGGATCACCGTCCACGACACATTGCTTCGTTCCTCCATGCTATCGAAGAAACTCTTCGCCTTGTCGAGATTCTCGTTTAGAGCATATGACGCGAGCATTGCGCCCCACGCCACTGCGTCTCTCTCCTCCATGGCATCGAAAAACTTCTTAGAATCTTCTAGATGCCCGTTCTGGGCATATGCCGCGAGCATCGCGTTCCATGACACCCTGTCGCGCTCCTGCATCCGGTCGAATATGCTCTTGGCGTATTCCAGATGCCCATTCTGGGAATATGCAGAAAGCATCGCGTTCCACGACACAAGGTCGTGCTCGCGCATAAGATCGAAGAGATTCTTCGCGTTTTCCAGGTTCCCACTGCGCGAGTGCGCGCAAAGCATTATGTTCCACGAGATTTGGTCACGTTCCTCCATCGCACCAAAGAGATTCCTCGCTGTCTCAATATGCCCGTTTATGGCATATGCCGAGAGCATTGCGTTCCACGACGCAAGATCCCTCTCTTGCATCTCATCGAAAACCTGTTTAGATTCCTCAACCAGCCCTTGCTGGGAATATGCCACTAGCATCACAGTCCACGAAATAAAGTCCCACTCTTTCATCCGAGCAAACAAGCTCCTTGCCTCAGGGATATTCCCGAAAGTGGTATATGCCGAAAGCATCGTGTTCCACGATACCAGGTTGCTCTCTCGCATCGCGTAAAAGAGGGCTTTAGCCTCTTCTATGTGCCCAGTCTGGGCATAGGCACTCAGCATTGTGTTCCACGAAACCAAGCTCCTCTCTGGCATTCGATCAAAGATCTTCTTGGTGCTCTCCAAATCCCCGTTTTGAGCATATGCCGACGCCATCGCTGTGAGCGAGATCATGTTTTTCTCGCGCATCCGGGCAAAGAGCCGCTTGGCCTCGTCGAATTGCCCGTTCTGCGCATACCCGGCAAGCATCGCATTCCACGAGACAAGATCCCTCTCGGGCATCGTCCGGAAAACAAGTTCGGCCTCCTCAATCATCTTGTTGTCGGCATAGGCGACAAGCATCGCCGTCCAGGAGATCATGTCCCTCTCGAGCATGGAATCGAAGAGATTCTTGGCCTCGTCAATGAGACCCTCCCGGGCCAGGGCCGTGAGCATCGCGGTCTCGGAAAAGATGCTCAGTTCGGGCATCTTAGTGAAGAGATTCCTGGCGTCTCCCAGCCGTCCATTGTCCACAAACGCTGTAAGCATCGCCGTCCATGAGACTCTATCCCTCTCCCACATGGAATCGAACACGCGCTTGGCCTCGTCCACATGCCCGTGCTGGGCAAGTGCGTTGATCATGACCGTCCACGTCACCAGGTTGTGCTCGGGCATGGCCAAGTATATACCCCGGGCCTCCTCCAGATGCCCGTTCTGGGCATATGCCGAGAGCATCAGTGCCCAGGAGAAGACGTTCTTCTTGGCCGTCCCGTCGAAGACTCTCTTGGCATCTTCCACGCCGCCGCGGGTGCCGTACATCTGGAGGAGGAAATTGGCCATGTAAATATTGGATTGGACGAGATGGGCCACACGAGAGTGTACGGCCTTGAGCTGGGCGAGTGTCTTGGCTGCCCTGATCTGCTCGAGCCCGGCATTAACCTCTAAGTTGGTCATCTGGAAGGGCAAAAGTAATTAGGGCTATAGATGCCCACTTTGGGCATATGCCAAGGAATTTTTGTAAGAGTAATTAGGGCTCGAGCATTTTTCAAGGTTGATTAACGTGGCGGCACTAACGTCCGTTGGATTGGATGGTTTGTTGGTAAAATCGGGAAAAAAGAACGAACGAAACCCTTGTTTCCTCTCTTACCTAGTGTTGCGCTGTCGACGCACCGCGGCGTGTGGCGCGGAGTGGGGCGCGGGCGGAGGCGAGGCGGCACGATTGAATCGCCGGGCTGAGATTTCGCAGTGCCGGCAAGGTTTGTGGTCTTCGATCGCAGCCGCGGGGCAAAGAATCGCATCGATTTGGCTGACCGCTTGCGAAAATGCCAGCCAAGAAGAGAGTGTAGCTCGTTCTTGCGGGAGCTCGGTGGCCGGGAGCCCTATCCTGGCGTGGGAATTCAGTCACTCTAGGTAATGTGGGCAATTTCTTCGTGGATAGGGTGTTTCTTAACGATGCCCTAGGGAGCAGCAATTGGGAAATGCGGTTCTGGGAAGAGAGGCTCGTCCGGGAAGAAGAAGAACAAGGCAAAGAGAAGAAAGGTGGGACTAAGAACACAGCAAAGCTCTAGTGAATGAGGAGGTGGATATGAGGGATATGAATGCCACAGTTGAGAGTGAGACGACTACTACAGCTTCGGCACAGGGGGAGCCGCCATGGTTACACGTCCGGCGGGAGCCATTCGAGTACGGCATGCTACCACTGCCGAGTTTGATGCACCACGATGGAGTTGGGTCTCTCCGGGAGCTCCGGGAGAAGCTGCTGGACAAGTCTATCCCGCAAACATCCTGGCAGTCGGGAGGAGGGAATGCTTCCGAGGATTCGTCAGCGATGGCTCAGCAGCCAAGCAGACGCGTTGGTGTTGCTGCGATTGTCGAGTGCTTGGGACTTTCGGAGGCGCATGCTCTACTGGTGTTGGATACTCTGGCTTCGGTCTTGCCAGATGGAGACGACTGTGATCAGCTGGCTCGGGCTTATGCAGCGGAGATTGACACAGTCGGAGCACACGTCGACGATCTTCTTCTCTTCCTATATATTCAGATCTATCGGAGGGTTCCTCCACGCTCTCACAAGGATCCGGCGGCAGTAGCAGACGTTTGGCCTTCTACGTCGCCGTTTGATGGATTCTTTTCGACACTTTCGCCTTTGCAAGTAAGCAAGCACTCTGGTTTTTATTTCAAGTTCTTGTGTTCTTGTGTTCTTGCTCACGACAGGTTAGGCCTACAAGAAAATCCGTTCCTTGTCAAGTTGAAGAGGAGGTGCACCAGCTTGCATTCGTCCAGAAGCATCTCTCATCTTTACTGGCTTTGCTGGTCGATCTGGAGGAAGACGGTGCAAAGGTAAAATGATCAAGAGCTATTTGTTGGAAGCCATTGATCTGATTCGACATGTTTTTCTTAAGGTTCTGTCAGTTGGAAGCTTCGATCGTCTCGGAATTATTTTTCGGCCAGTTGACGCGCAATGCAACGCAAGATCACTCAGCCAGACCGCTCCTTTCTTTGCGGGTTCTGATCCGGATATGCCTGCTGTTCCGGTGCCTTTGGCTCAAGCACACGACTGGATTTTGGAGCACATTTCGACCCAAGCTCAACGAACAAAATGTTCAGGCAAAGAAAACGGGCCGAATGAGGAGAACGATATCACTATGATTGATGCTGTCGGGGCACAGGCATGGGTTCAAAATGGTGTGACCAAGAACAGGGAGTGGTGTTTCGAAGGGCTGACATTCGTTGATGGGGTGACCAAAGTATCCACCATAAAGAGCGAAAGCGATGTCACTGGTGACACGTTGAAGGTTTATACGTCTTACACCAGAGTTTTATCTTTAACATAGTTCTTTCAGGTATCGAACTGTCACGATGCGGTGGTTTACGTTCTGGCGCCAACTAAGTATGCGTCTGTGTTTGGCTGCTCGGATTCCATTGTCGTTCTTGGTGCGGTTGGAAAGGTAGCGTGGTATCGACTGTTTCTTATTACTAATTCTCTGTTTGAATGCAGGCCGTGAGGATAGAGCACTGCGAAAGAGTCCAGGTGATCGTGCCCTGTGCAAGAATCTGTATAGCGAATTGCCGGGAGTGCGTGTTCTTTCTGGGTGTCAATCAACGTCCACTCATTCTCGGTAATAACTATAATCTTCAGGTAAAAGTCATATCATTTTTGCTTCTTTTTTTTTTTCTAAAAGCTTCTACCGTATTTACCAGGTCGCTCCGTTCAACACGTTTTATCCAAAACTTGAAGCACATCTTGCTCAAGTTCGAGTGGATCCGACTGTCAACAGATGGGACAAGATTTTGACATTGGGGGTTATCGATCCACATGACTCCTTACCCCATCCTGCTGGTGTTGCTGACGCTCAAGCGGAAGGTGCCAGCGTCGTTCCGCCGGATAGATTTACTAATTTCCTGGTAAGATGACGTTCTGGATTCTTTTGGCTAGCTGCTCACAATACTGACTTTTCAGATTCCAAGATGGAACGGAGGAGAATCCGAACAGAATTTTACGAGGGCGAATCCGTTTTTGCTACCGAAACTTTATCTGATGGCGCAGCAGCAGCGGGTGAGTTTTTCTTTTTCTTTTTTTCTTTTTCCTTCTCGGTTCATTTACTGATTTTTTTTTAACAGAACAAGGCAATGGAGAACTTGCGCCACTTGCTGCAGAATGTTCCCTTGGACGATAATCGTAAGCGGGACCTGTCGAATGCAATTCACGCACACTTCAAGGAATGGTTATACGGTAGGGCTTGAACTTTTTGTCTTGTGACTTGAATAAAAATGTTGTTTCTGCAGGGTCCGGAAATATTCGTCAGTTATACGACCTTCAGATCGCTGACAAAGGGACGGAGTGATCTTGTTGTGGCCTGTAAAAGGTCTCTTCTAAAGCGCCATTGACATGAAGGCATCCTTCACACTCAAGGCTCGGACGGCATCCGAATTGTGGAGGAAAAAGACACAATGGTTTTGATGATGGAGTCCGAAGCTCCAGAGAGATCGTTGTTGGGTCAGGTTAGTCCATTGCGGTTTCCGATCCTGCTCAGCTGCTGATGGTGTCTCCTTGCAGATGTGCAAGGTAAGCTAGATCTGTGTATCATTTGAATGGCAAAATAATATGAAAATTTGCTTTTCTTTCGCGAGTTTGTGTTCGTTTTTGTTATTTCAGGAAGGTTGTGAACGGGTGGTACGTACTCGTCTATTTCTTTGCCAGGCTCTTACTTGAACATTCGCTCTTCCGAACTGATGGGAATGTTATTTGCAGACATGTCTCGGCGTTCCATGACACCATCCTGATTGAAAGTCCAGTGCTCGATGCCGTAAGCTCGCCACCACTGACCAGCCACTTCGTCCAGGTACTCGTACTCAAATTCCACAGCGATTTTGTTGTCGTTGTGGCAGAAGTAACGCTTGCGAAGTTTGTACCTCTTCTCAACATCCCATTTTTTCTGGAGGAAGCCGATGATTTCCTCACGGCCTCGGAGAAACTGGTCCCTGTTGCGCCACACGGAATCAGGGGTGTATGCGAGAGCTACCTTATTGGGGTCTTTGGTGTTCCAGAGATCCTCCGCTCGCTGGACCTTCGCTTTGGCCGTCGCTTCCGTGAACGGTGGAACCAGAGACGCCATATGGGACTTAGGGCTCCGACTTGGGGGTTCCAACTCTTTAAGTCACCAGTAGTCTCCGCAAGAACAGGTTCCACTCTGGAAGCGATGGAAACGATTAGCGTCCCTCACGGTGATCACCCGACTTCTCAACTTGGATATCAACTTGATGGCCCCGTGACAGTCCGAGCAAACTCTGAGGTTCTTCAGAACGAGCAGAGGAATGCCGCTCTTGGTGGAGATGAGTCCGAACGCAACCGCCAATTTCTCACTGTGGAGGGCAAGGATCTCCTCCTTGTCTTCGGTTTTGAGATCGTGGACAACGCCGTCAGTGCTTGGAACGAATCCAGCTTGCTTTAGCTCGACGTTCAAGATGTCGAGTTCTCTGAGAATTTTGTCGATCTGAGGATGGCTGGAGTCTCCCGCTACGAACTCGTGAACTCTGCCGTGGACCTCGATGACACTCCTTCCAGGTACCAGCTTCCTTAGACCTCTCTCTTTCATGCTGCTTCTCAGTTCAACTAACTCGTCCTTCTTTCCAGTTGCCGAATACAAACTCGAGAGAAGCGTGTATGGAGCAGTATTTTGAGGCTCCAGATTGAATGCCTGCTCGGCGGCAGACGCAGCATTCTCCAAACTTCCCTGGACCCGGCAGCCTCCAAGCAACGTTCTCCAAGCAATTGCATCCGGCGAAAACGGCATGCTGTTCATGAGCTCGTCTGCATCTCCAAGCCTTCCAGATCGAGCCAGCAGGTCCACCATACAGCGATAATTCTCAGCAGCTGGAACTAAGTCGAAGTCAGACAGCATCAACTGGAAGTGATCGTAAGCTACTTCAAGCATTCCCGAGTGGCTGCAGGCGATGAGAACGGAGATGAAGCTGGCGGAGTCGAGCTCCACTCCTTCACAAGCTGCTGCTCTCAGAAATGCTGCTGCCTCGTCTCCCTGGCCCTGGTGAGCACAGGCTGCGAGCATCGCATTCCAGGAAACGGAGTTTTTCGTCGTCATGGCTTTGAAGACGGCCTTGGCTTGCTCCAGAGTTCCACACTTGCCATACATGCTCACGAGCGCGGTCTCCACGACAACGTTTGGCAGGCAACACTTTCTTCCAAGAACAGGCTCCACGACTCTCTTGTGGATTCTCTTGCCGAACTCGAGAGCACCACAGCAGGAACAGGCAGTGATAACGCTCGCAAAGGTGGTGTCGTCCTGCGGCAGTCCCTCCAGGTCCATCTCCCGGAAGACTTGGATGGACTCTTTGCCAAGTCCCTGCTGTGCGAAGGTCGCAATCATCACGTTCATCGAGACTTGGTCTCGCCTCTGCATCTTCCGGAAGATATCTCTGGCGACTTCGAGGCTCCCGCACTTGGCATACATGTTGAGCAGCGCGTTTTGGACACCGACGTCTCTCTCGTACTCGGTGAGAGCGATGAACTTCTCGTGGATCTCCCGGCCCGCTGCCAGAGCTCCCGACGTGGAACAGGCGCTGAGAATGATCGTGAAAGTCGTCTTATCGGCATCAGAGCTCATACTTCCGAAGAACTCCATCGCCAGCTGCAACTCGCCCAGCTGCGAGCAGGCACCGATCATCGCGTTCCAGGCAACAACGTCGCGGCTTTCCATGCTCTCGAACACTCTCCTCGCTTCGTCCAGCCGGCGGTACCTCGCATACATCTTGATAGCGGCAGTATCCACAAGGACACGCGAGCGTCGAGCATCGTTGTCGATCGAGGGAGACATGAAAGACAACGAGTCCGAGTGGATGATCCTCCCGTCCTCGAGGCTGCTGCAAGAACTTAAAGCTGCGACGAAAGTTATGTGATCGGGAAGAACACCATCGACAGCCATCAGGCGGAAGAGGTAGATCGCCTCTCGGTTTTGCTCGCGCTGGACGTAAGCCGTGATCATCGAGTTCCACGACACCAGGCTCTTGCCATCGATCCGGTCGAAGACTCTTCTCGCGGCCAGCAAAAGTCCGAGCTTGGCGTACGCGTTGAGCAGGCAAGTCGCCACCACGACATCGAACTGGAGTCCCGTCTCCACGATCCTGGCATGGATCTTCTCCAGAGAAGTGACATCGTTGCAAGCTCCGAGAACTCCAACGAAGGTCGCTCGGCAGGGACGGACGCCGTGCTCCGCCATCTTTTCGAAGAGATCGAGAGCTTGGTGGTGGCTGTGCCCGCTCTGGGCATACGCGGCTATGAGAGCGTTCCAGGAGACGACGTTCTTGGCCGGGATGCGATCAAAGACCGACTTTGCAGTGGAGAGGTCGCCACACTTCGCGTACATGCTGAAGATGGCGGTGTCGAGAATGACCGAGGGGCGGATCCCACGGCTGGCTTTGATCCTGGCATGGATCTCCCGGCCTCTCTGGAGATCTCCCAGCGAAGAACAGGCCGAGAGGGCGGTTGCGAAGGTCATGGCCGTGGGAGGAACGTCCATCTTTGCGAAGAGGTGGAGAGCTGTGGAGGGGTGGCCGCGGTGGGCATAGGCCGAGATGATGATGTTCCAGGAGAAGATGTTCTTGTGCTGGATGGCGTCGAAGATGGATCGAGCTTCACAAAGGCTGCCGTGCTTGGCGAGCATGAGGACGAGGAGATTGTTGAGGTAGGCGCTGCTTCCCAGGCCCGCTCGAGTGATCTTTTGGTGGATGATCGAGACTGAGTTGGAATCCTTGCAGCTGCGAATCGCGGCGGCGAAGGAGTCGGATTGGATCTCCCTCTCGAGGCTGTCGAGTGGATCGTGCTTCCGGGACGATGAAGAAGAAGAGCAGGCATTTTTCCTGGTTGTGGCGATGGTGGGCTTCTTCGTCTTCCAGATGGTATGCTTCTTGAGCATCTCCCAGCACCATTCTTTGCGATCCAAACGCTATCTTTGATCGAGAAAGCAGATGCTCGTTCTGTGCTTTTGCTGTGAGTCTGGATTCTTGCTTGTCACGATCTATTCTGCCATGATCACGCGAAGAAGATTTAAGGAAGCGATCTAGCAAGAGTCAAGGAAGAAGAAGACCAAGGAGGAGCATAGAAAGAATGGAAGAAGAGAGCTCTAGATAGAAGAAAAGATCGAAATGAACAGATGCCCTCTCTGGGCATTTTCTGTGAGCTGTGATTTCGGCGTGTCGGAATCTATTTTGCGACGATCACACGAAGAAAATCTGATGGGAACGATCAAGCGAACGTCAAAGAAGAATAAGACCGAGAAGGATCATAGAAAGAATGGAAGAAAAGAGCTCTAGAGTAGAAGAAATATCTAAATTGCTAGATGCCCTATCTGGGCATTTGGCGATCTAAACCTTCTTCCAAAATGCCCATAGAAGAATCAAAGCGAGTGATGACAAACGGCCACGCAGCTAAAATTTCTCCACTCTTTGCAGAGGTCAGAGCTGCCAGCCACACCAGGAAGGGAACAAAAAAAATAGAACTAGATGGAAGAAGAGAGAAGAGCTCTAATAATTAGGGGTTATAGCAGTGATGGTAGATTTTGAATGGCGAAGAATGGCGCCTTCTCGCCCTCCTCCTCGCGGCCATTGATCGCAGCCTCGTCCTCTTGTGCCCGTGGCGCTCGCTTCCAACGTCTCTAAGATCGGCGCTGCCTCCGGGATCGATAGCCGCTGGAGTCGCTGCGATCCGGTAAGTTCTTCCCTTCCACGGCCGAAATTTTGGGATTCCCTGCCCGCATTGGCTTGATCCGATCTTCCAAGTCGGGGTTTTTGTAGGCTTTCTTTGTCTCATTGGCTTGGTCTGGCTTGATTCGATCATCCAAGCGAGGGTTCTAGGATACAGTTCTTTTGATGCTTGCAAAGCCGTGGCTTTTGTATTTTTCTCTCGATCTTTGAGAGGTTTTTGATCTTTTTCTTTCTTTGCTTGCGAAGCCCAGCGATGGCGTCCAAGCTTCTCACCGCATGGCGCAAGAGGAAACGCACTAAGAGCACTGATGAGTATGCATGTAAGCGTTTTTTTTTCTTTGTTCTTTCTTTTTGTTCTTCTCAATGCTTCTCGACGCAGGGCCGCCAAAGTCACTCGAGTTTTGGGAGGACGTTCCTCCTCCTCCACTGTTGAGGCCCGCGGCCATCCCTGCCGTGGTCTTCACTTTGAGAGAAATGCTCCAAGCCACGAACAACTTTAGCTACGATAACTTCATCGGCGAAGGAGGCTTTGGTCGTGTCTATCGAGGAGTTTTGAGAACTGGAAAGGTCTGTAAGTTCTTCTAGGTGTCCTTTCTCTCACTCTAGTTTTTTCTTTTCTGTGAAACAGCCCGTGGCCATCAAGCAGATGGATCCAACTTTAAGCCGAGGCACACAAGGCGAGCGAGAGTTCCGGGTGGAAGTCGACCTTCTAAGTCGGCTCAGCCACCCCAGCCTTGTGAGGCTGATCGGCTACTGTGCCGATAGAAAGCAGAGAATGCTGGTGTACGAGTTCATGACTCAAGGAAGTCTTCAAGAACACTTGCACGGTATGGTAGTACAGTTGCCAATAATTTGGTGTTTATAGAGTTTGCCTCTTTCAGGGATTGTGCGGATAAAGATGAACTGGCAAGTCCGTATTCGTATTGCCCTTGGCTCAGCTAGAGCTCTAGAATACCTCCACGCTGGACCTGCGACTGGCAATCCCATCATCCATCGGGATTTCAAGTCGAGTAACATACTTCTTGATGAGACCTTCCAAGCGAAGGTGGGCCTGGTTTCTTCGTCACGCTCACGGCAGTCCTACTTTTCTTTGTGATTCAGGTGTCAGATTTTGGTCTTGCAAAGCTTGTTCCGCATGGAAACAAAACGTATGTGAGCACGAGGGTACTGGGAACTTTTGGTTATTTCGATCCACACTACACGGCAGTAAGACTTGGTTTTTGAAAGACACTTTCCAATCCGTGGTCTCGCAGACAGGGAGGCTTACGCTGAAGAGTGATGTCTATGCGTTTGGTGTTGTGCTGCTGGAGCTTCTTACTGGAAGGCGGCCGGTGGATTCGGCACACAGCTTTACAAAACAGAACTTAGTTTTTCAGGTAAGTTAAACACAAGCGGCTTCATGTCAGGCTTTTTACCTGCACTGTCACAGGTGCGAGACAGTTTACGGGACAGCAGGAAGTTAAAGAAGATAATTGACCCCGAAATATCGTTGGAATCGTGCTCGTGGGAATCCATCAAGAGATTCGCGATGCTGGCCTACTGCTGCGTGCGTGACGACGATACCCGGCGTCCGACGATGGGAGAATGCGTTGCAGAGTTGGAACAGCTCTATCTTCTAATCCTGTTCTACAGGAGAGCCGCAACGTGAAACTTCTCAGTCAGGTACCTTGCCATTTTCAAATGGCTCATTCCATTTCTAAGATCTGTATACAGGGACAGGGACATAAAACAAAACCAAAAAAGAGAAGAGAAGAACGATAGGAAGCAGCTCTGTACATTCTGCACTGACAATTTCTTCATCTTCACGTCGACACTCGCGAGCATGCGACCGGTTCATGAGAGAGGTGACCGCTGCGGCTGGCCTTTCCTGCGCTGCTTGGAAGACCGTGGCGACTCGCAGTGCTTCTGCGGCGTCAGCGGCTCCACGGTGTTGTTGACATCCGCCGCCAGCGACGATATCCCAGAATGCTGCGGGCTGTGGGGGACGAGCACAGAGATCGGGGAAGGCGGAACGTCGGCAAAAGTGGCCTGCTCCTCATCGCCATCGCTGTCCACGGTGGTGCTCGACTGCTGCCGCGGGCTGTCCATCTTGCGCTTCTTGATCGGCACCTGGGCCTTCTTCCCGGCCTTGGAAATCTTCTGCTCGTCCGTGAGACCCTCAACCGCCATGGACTTGACAAGCACAGGCTCGTCCTCGAAGCAGCAAGTCCTCGACGTCCGTGGTCCCGGAGACGAAGAAGCCGCTACTCCAGCAGGGACAGGGACAGGAGCGGGGGAAGACGAAGCGGCGGTGCCGGGTGCATGCTGCGAGAGCTCGCCGTGAGAAGGAACAGGAACATGAAGCGGAAGAGCCAGGGAGACCGAGGGATTGATACGAGCAGCGGCCAACTTACAGCTGATGGAGCAGAAGCAAGTGGGATCCGTGAGCGTCCGGTTGCAGTTCTGGCACCAGTGCGTGGCGGCCTTGGCGATCCGGTCCTGCGGCCTGCTGAGGAGGAAGACGATCTTGGCGCTGTTGATGGTGTAAGTCTGGATGTTGGAGATGTCGGCCAACTTTTGGATGTCGTGGACCCGGACAGCGTCCATGTGTGACGCGCGGCGGACTTGCAAGCTCCGGTGGTTTGCATGCTCGGTCTGGAGGCCAATGTGGCACATCGGCCCGTCCAGGACGCAGTCGATGCAGAAGTGATTGCGCTCGTTCTTGCTCGACGCGTGCTTGAGGCACTGCGAGAAGTAGTTCCCGGTGAGGAAATGCGGCAGCCAGCTCGGGCCTTCTCTCGGCGGCGGCGGCGGCGGCGGCGGCGGTGGCGGCGGGGAAGAATGAGAAGCCGGCGGTGAGGCGGAGGAGGAGGAGGATTGCTCGAGGGCGGAAGCCATCGCCAGCAAGAAGAGCAATGCAGGGGTTTTGGAGATGACCCACAAGAACCCAATGCCGGCCGAGACGATCCAAGCAAGAGCGCAACCAAGAGCGCAAGAGAAAAGAAGAGACCAAGCTCCAAAGCCCAGCGCTCTCGCTCGAAGAAGAAGAAGAAGAAGAAGACGAGGAAGAAGGAAGGAAGGAAGGAAGGAAGGAAGCGCTCTAAGACTCAAACCTCGCGGAGTGGAATCGCGCTACTACTACTCGGCGGCGATCAATGCCTTGCGCTACAAGCCAGGAAGATCGTCATAAACGCGCGAGGCAAGGATTTTTTTTTGTGCGCTCTCCTTTCAGGAAGATCGAGGAGAAAGACATGAAAAAGAGGAAGAAAGCCTCTCTCTTTCCTTTTTTTTTTTTCTCTTCTAAGAGGGAATTGAGAGCTCTCTCTCGAAGTTTACCTCTCTAGGCTACAATAGAAACAACCAACATGCTTCCAGGGTGAGTGAACGTGTCCTTGTTATGGACATGTGTCTCTCGCTCCACTGGTTTCCCAACTGGGAGAGGCTCTAAGGACAGTGTCCTTAGCAAAGCCGGGCCTTGCCGCCTTGGACGCGCTGACGTGTCCGCCGCCGCGGCATGCCACGCTGGACGACCGTCCCCCGCGAGAGCTCACACTGCATTTTAGGGTTCTTGGCGCGCATGGCGGTGGATCCGCCCGGGCGGCGCCGCGGCGAGGCGAATTCCTACGCCGCGATGCTGCGCAAGTGCTCCGCGCTGTCGCAGGTGAAGTGGGTGCACAGGATCGTGGCGGAGGATGGGTGGGAGGATGATACCTTCGTGGCGAATTTCCTGATCCAGATGTATGGGCGCTGCGGCGGCGCGCAGGAGGCGGCGAAGGTGTTTGAGAAGCTGCCGCGGCGAAATCAATTCTCCTGGAATATCATGCTAGCGGCATTTGCCCAGAATGGGCATTTGCAGGAGGCGCGGGAGATCTTTGATCGGTCGCCGCACAGGAATGTGGTGACTTGGAATGCGATGATGGCTGCGTATGCGATGGCTGGGCGGATCCGAGAGGCCGAGATCGTCTTCAAGAAGATGCCCCAGCGGGATCTCATCTCGTGGAACTCGATGCTCACTGCATATGCCCAGCACGGTTATTTTGAGGAGGCTTTGCGGCTCTTTGCGGCGATGGATCTCGAGCCCGACAGCGTGACTTTCCTTTGTGTTCTTGAGGCCTGCGGCGAGATCGGTCAGGAAAGATCCCAGTGCAGGCTTCTTCATTCGAGGGTCTCGAATTGCGGGCTGGAGATGGAGCTTAAGATCAGCACCGCGCTGATCGACATGTATGGGAAGTGCTCCAGCCCCGAGGACGCCAGGGACGTGTTCTGGAGGATCAGCGACACCGCCCAGGACCTCGCGCTCTGGAACGCGATGATCTCGGCTCACGCCAAGAACCGCCAAGTTCGCGAGGCTCTCCATCTCTTCTCGCTGCTCGATCTCCAAGGAGCGAGGCCAAACGACTCCACGCTGGTAAGCATTCTAGACTCCGCCGCTAGCTCCTCGGATCTAAATCATGCCAGGTTCGTGCAAGGCGTCGTGGAGGAGTGTGACGAGGCGCTGAGCGTGGACGTGAAGAACGCGATCATCGGCATGTACAAGCGGTGCGGCAGCATCGAGAACGCGAGGAGGGTGTTCGTCCGGATCGAGAACAAGGACACGGTGTCGTGGAACTCGATCATCGCGGCCTACGCCGACTTGGGCGATTGCAAGGAGGCGATCGAGCTGTTCGAGCTCATGAGTTTGGAGGGATTTGAGCCGAGCAGGGCGACGTATCTCAGTGTTCTTGGGGCGTGTAGCCACGCGGGGCTGGTCAAGGAAGGGGTGGAGGTGTTCGCGAGCATGGTGGAGTTTGGAGTGGTGCCGACGAGGGAGCACTTTAGCTGCATGGTGGATTTGTTTGGGAGGGGAGGATGGGTGGCGGAGGCACACGAGGTGTTTAGCAAAGGTCCCTTGAGGCCCAGCGTTACCGCTTGGAGGGCCTTGTGTGGAGCGTTTGTCCAGCAACATTAATTTTTTGTTTTTTTTTTTTTTTTCAATTTTGTGTAAAAAGGAAATATAACTTAAAGGTATAAAGTTCAAACAAATTACCCACACTGTATCCATTTCTTGTAGATTCAAATTGTAATCTTTGATGACCAAAAGAAAATTGTTTTTTGTGAGACTATAAGAGAGAAAATACTAAGTTTTTTTAACGTACCATGCTGTATTTTTTATAAAAATTACGAATTAAATACTTGAAGGTATAAAGCTCAATAAATACAACATGAAATACCCACCAGCATGATTGTAAGCTTTCATGACCACCCAGCAAAAAATCTTCTTTTATAAGACTATAAGAGAGAAAATACTAATGTTTTTCAACATGGTATGCTGTATTATTGATCTAATATTTAATATTTCACAATTAGAATTCTAGAATATACTCCAAAATATGCCTGAATATTCTCTGAGCTTACGACAAGAGATAAAGTAGTTTTTCCTGTTCTTTTGGTTTCTACACGACTGAATTTGGGCCTCTGGGAGGACCGCGCGATGAGATGGGCTCTTTCTTCTTTTTCTTCGCCATGAGCACACTGGTGTTAATCCCTCGCTCTTGCGAAGTAGATTCCACCTTGGAGGATCCACAAGAGAAGAGGTTTCTTACCGCCGATGCCATGAAATTCTCCTTGACCGCTTGCGAGATGCGGCCCAGCAGCGAAGGTTTCTCCTCCAAATCCTCCTCCTTCGCTGCCATCTATCCAATCGCAAATTTCACTCCGCTCACACAAAAGACTCTGCTCGCGAGTCGCGATCCCCTGACTGGCTTTTGACAGTGCTGCCTGGGTATTAAAGCCGCCACGTACGAAAAAGAGAACCTTGGTACGGAAAGAAACTCTGCCTCTTCTTCTCCTTGTCTTATGGATTTCCACCACATCCACAAATATGACTGTCTGAACCGTCCAGACCCTCTGCAAATGAGCCTCAAGCTCCTGCAAATTTATACGTGAAATGTGGAGACATGGAGGCAGCGGAGAAAGACTTTGACGAGTTGACCGGCACAAGGTATACTTTCGTACAATTCCCATGTCCATCTGGTTGAGAGATCGGATTCATGACAATAACAAGTTAATCATGGTCTTCCATATTTGATAATCAAATAGTATACAAAATCAATACCACAATTGAAGTCTGGAGTTGAGAGATGGAAGCGTTTAACATTCTTGTCAGTGTTTTCGTTGCATGCATGCATCCCGACGTCTCAAGTTTGTGAATCCAACTCTTAGCACAGTACAAGGCCTGTTTGTTTTTGGGACTCAGCCTTAGATGCCGGTGAGAGCTTAGTCCCTCTGCCATCGACTTCCATTCTCTCAGTTGGCTGTTCCCGGCCCTTTTTTTGCTTGCTGCTTCTTGCTTCTCCAACCCTAAGTTCTAAGCTCCAGTTAAGGGAAAAGAGAAACAAAAGTGAAAGAATCCCCAAGAGACCGCAACGCAACCTGAAAATCCAAGAGCGTCGGTGTCTCAAATTGCTATAGTACCTGGGCCTCTTCTTCCATTCGGATATTGCCGCTCAACAAAAAAAACAGGAGTTTTTTTATACCTTTATAAGATGTTGAAGCTCTTGGAAAGGCTTATTTATGGTCATATTAAATCATTTGTCCGGGTGAACGAGGAACAATACTCGAGAAAAGAACGATATAAATAACACAAAGAGCGCATTCAACCTCAATACTGTAGGCATGAAGAAGATACCCGTCAAATCGCTCAGCTTCATTCCCAATTAAAAGGATTTCAGGCTTTTTTCTAAATGCAAAACCTATAGAATACAGAAATCTATCGTAAGAACTTTGACTTGAGCAAAACTAACAGCATTTGCTAGCGCCTTAAACTCTTCTAAGGTTAGCTCCTTCCCTTCAACATAAGCTAGCATGTTGCTTGTTAAGTGCAAATCTAGAGCCAAAGCTGTGGTTGTGCCAGATGCGTCCACCACCACCACCTTTCCACTACTCGGCAGTGATCAGCAGAGTGATGCATGTTTCATCCTTCCAATCGTGCAAAATAAACTATATAAAGATCAAATATGAGTGTTTCATATCCCAAATCACAAGCTCACCTTCATAAAAATAGCATCACCCGGTTGAACTTTATCAAACATATCACTGCTCACATTCTCCACTCCTGAATCCAAAAGAAGTTGCATAGAAGTAATGAATCAAATCAGAGCTTACCCGGGAGAGCTGGAGCCTTAGATATAACATGAGGCAAACTGAAATCAATCCCCTTGATTCCTTGGTGGCAACCGAGAAGAACTCTTAAGCTGTTTCCAATACCTCCACTTGCAAGCAGTGGAGCTATCGTATCGGATCAAACCATGCGCAGCCAGATTGGTGGGGAGGATCATAATTGTTTAGCGTTTACATTAACTTTCATGGGTGATATGATGAATTTTCCGATCTTTGTAACGCGAAATATCCCGGAACGCTTGACCGGCTGCTGTCGGTGGAGCGACCGGCCCAGCCGGTGGACAAGCACCACCGTTGATGGGGACTCTATGATTCGAATTTGGGGGGCCAGGATTAACCCTGGCGAATGCGCGAGCATCGCCACGCGCCGCTGTCACCGCCATGTAGCCCCGGCCCGATCGATCTGTTTGCGCTCGCTCAGTCAGTCATGGATCCGTGGCGTGAGTCTCAGGCTCGCGAGGTGGGTGCTGTCGAGTCCCAGCTTCTCTTGGCGGAGTCCCTCTCGGTGGTGCTAGATCCAAGGATCCGCCTTTGATCCAGGGGTAGCAGCAGGATCTAGGTCCAGGTCAATCACAGGATCAGGATCTAGATCCAGGTCAATGAGCAGGATCTAGATCCAGGTCAATGAGCAGGATCTTGATCAGGGGTAGCAGCAGGATCTAGATCCAGTTCAATGAACAGGATCTTGCTCAGGGGTAGCAGCAGATCTAGATCCTCGTTTTTGCAGACATGGTGGAGCTTTTGGATAATGCCATTGTCAAGGTATGTTCTGTCATTGTGCTTGGTGCTTGAACAGGAAAGTTAAACTCTTGCTTCCTTTTTTCTTTTGTTTTCATAAGGAACTGTGCCACTTTCATCGAGATCGACAAAGTCACCAATTTTCGCGACAGAAGCCCAGGTCTTCTTCTCTCCCAACTCTATCAGCCAGTGTAAGTCTTGTCGCAGTTTTTTTTTTTAGTTAGTTCCAGCGATGTTACTTGCAGTTCGAGGAGGAGGAGGAGGAGATGATCCAGCCGCTTTCAAATTCCACAAGGTTTGCACCACAGGACACGCTCCAGCGTCACTGGGACGTGAGCGGTGCTTTCAGGCCGATCAGGGATGGTCTAGGGATTCCCACGGGCTTCTTCCTGACGAGGAGGAGGAGCCCGGATGATCTCGCCCCATGATCCGTGGAGTAGCATCGACTGGCTCTGGCACGACCCCAGTATCACCGAGAGTGTGATGACGAGCGTGAAGAGGAGGATGCCGATGGTAAAGGTGGATAAAAATATATAGGCAAGAGACGTTGGAGTATAAAAGGTAAGGGTTAAATTTCCTTACACAAAGAAGTAAGCTTTTGTTCCAGGGCATTTTGTTCCAGGAGCGACTGAGCTGGGAGCGCCAAAGCCCTAGGCAATGGGGAAGGGTGCTATCGGAAGAGGAAGAGCGCTATCGGAAGAGCGCTATTGGAAGCCGGAGATGGAAATGGAGCTGGAGCGTGCAATCCAGGTGAAAATGGAGCAGCAGCAGAAGGTAGAGGTAAATCTAGGTCGACTTTCATGGAGCTTAATGCTTTCCGAGCAGGAGCCGGAGCTCACCCTTGTGGAGGAGCAGGAGCCGAAGGTAACCCTTGTGGAGGAGCAAGAGCTCACCGTTGAGAAGCCCAAACGCATCCTGGAGGTAAATTGTAGATTGCAGGGAAACAAACTCACATATGGTTTAGGAGTTGGAGGAGACTGTAGAAAAACCGGAGTGCGTCCACAAAATCGATGAGGTGGGTGATAGATTGCATGCATTTGATGAAGCTCATATATGATTTCGTTTCAGCTGCAGGTAAAGGAGTTGGAGGAGTTTGAGGAGCAGCAGAAGCTCCAACTCCAGCTCAAGTACTTGAAAAGTCTAGTGGACGTTTTGGATGACATGTGTGTGCTATTCTACAATGTGAGTTATATTTGAATTATTTGAGTTGACACTTATAGCTACTTTTCTAGGCTGAAAACTCCTCAGAGGAGCTACAAACTATCAAGGCATGCGTTGAGACAACATCACAAGGTATCTGGGCGTTAATGAAGCATGAGATGAAGGACAGTGAGAAGATGGCTCAAACAGCTGACAGGATTATCAACGGTTATAAAGAAACCAAAGACAAGGTATTATAAAATGTTTTAAACTTTTAATGTTAAAGTGATATGCAGAAAATCCTTCTGGAGGAAATCCTGGCCCAAATGCAAAGGCAACTAAAAAACTTGGAGGCGTCAAAGCTGCAGGTGAAAACACATTTAAAGTTCTTTAAAATTTACACTTCTTTATTTGCTTTTTCAGACAGTGGACCCAAGGCATACAACCTCTCAGCTGCGTCTGAAGGAAGCCATTGAGAGATTGACTACAAGAAATGGAATTCTTTCAAATGTAAAGCACGTGAAGCAGCTTCAAGACGAATACTACGCAATTACTAGAGAGCTGCGGGGGTTTTATGCGTCTTGTCGTGCTGCTAAGAAAAAACGCACTCTTTGTAAGTATTTTTTAAGCTAATTGAGAGATCTCTAACGTTTTTTTTTTTTTTTTTTCCTTTCAGAGTTAGAATGATATGTATTTCTGTTGTTTAATCTATCTATAACTATTTTTTTTTAAAGAGGCGCACTGGATCTCCAGCCGGGTTTCAGAACAAAAGAAAATTGGCCATCGCCTTAGTTGGCTGCTGAGCTTTCGAAGTTTCATTCTCAGGCAAAGAAACCGACAGAAGCGACGAGGGGAAGCAGTTCAGCACGCATGCCGTGCTTGAAGTTTCTCTTCAACATCATAGCAAGCTTATAAGATTACATTCGACTGTAAGTTTTCCTCGTTTTGCTTTATTTCTTTTACTTGTTAAGGTTACTGTCCCGAATCTGCCTCTGTTCCTATGGAAGTTCGTCTGGAAATACCTTTCGGCATTGCTCCGAAGGTGAGGCCATTATTTTCGTTCTTTGAAACCTGATTGTTTCTTTTTGTTTCCAGACAATGAACCCGATTCTTCCCAGTGAAGTCATCCCGCTCCCTGTTCATCTGGCAGAAACAGGCCGCATTAGCTGGCGTCCCTCCAATAAAGATTATCTTTGGAGCGAAGCACAACCTTTGTCGAAAGTTGATGTCGACGAACTATCCCTCGGCGTCACAGCGACCGTTTGTCTGCTATCCATCTCGGCCCAGCCAAGGTCCATTCCGCTGTTGCGTCAGTGTGGAGGAGACGGAAGTGTCGGCTGCAATATATGCTTCAAAGTCTTCGTCAGACAAGCTTCAAGTAACCTCAGAGATGGAAGATGTGGAACGTTTTGCTTCAGGCTCCGCTTGTTATATGAATTGTCTTCCATGTGCCATGGACGTGATCGTCGAAAGGGGTGCTGGAGTGAATGCTCATACGTCCATCCCGAAGGTATGTTTTGACTTTTACAAGCTTAAATGATATAACATTTGCTGGTAAAAACTCCAGGGCGATTCTGGCTTCTTTTACGAGGTGGACGTCGTGCATGACCTGAACAAAAAAAGCTACTATCTTAGCTTCTTACCTAGAACTGTAAAGTTCGAACGCGCTGCATCTAGAGATAGAGGGGAAAGAACAGAAAGGCCTGTCGACGATGAAATGACCGTCTTTGATCCCGGAAATCCTTCAGGTGAATTTTATGTTTGTATCCTTTTCTTGGTCTAACTTATTGTATTGGTCAGGTCTTCCCGTTTATGCATGGGTTGATAAGGTGACGGAAGCGGGGCACGCAGACTCTCTTTGATCGTTCCTTACTGCAGCGGGTTGAACTTATCTTTTCTGGACGGGAATGTGGACGTACATGTCGCCGAAGAGCAGAGCCTGATACATACAGCAACCGGAGGCACAGTAGCTGCGACGGAAGCTCAGGGTATACAGCCACTTATCGCGACTTCCACTGGCCGAATGCTCTCGTACTTGCCTTCGTGCAAAACTATTACTCCAGCGACACAAACATCACCAGCAGCCGCTGACAGTCATTGCAATGATTCCATTCTGCCGCTTGCACGCATATATTCTCCAACTACTCGCGAAGTTGGTGAAAGCAAAATGCTGGCCTGGAGTCTACCACACCTTTTTGGTCGCAACCATTTCTACTCGAACCACCTGGTGGGAATACTTCTATAGACATTCCCAAACCGACTGGTAAAGGGGCATACGTTGTTTCGATCACCTCTATCCCTGCAATGGGAAGCTGTTGAGGGAAAACTAAAACCGTAACTTTCAGGCCAAG